CTCGCCCTCCCCCTCAGGTCTTTTCATGGCGAGTCAAAAGAGTTTGCTCTCCTGCGGGGTGTGGCACACCGTTTGGTCGCTCGCCCTGCGCTTCGCCCTCACACCGCTCACCACCGCTCTCTTTGCCTTCCTCTTTGGCATCCGTGGAAAGCTTTTCCGCATCATTGCCATGCAGGTGAGGGTGCTATGCCATGCAGGTGAGGGTGCTATGCCATGCAGGTGGGGGCCTTTGCCGTGTACGCACTAATTCATTGTTGCATAATGCTTTCCAATGGCACTCACTAGCACTCAGTAACACAGAATTGCACAGAATACTCTTCCATTTCGTTGCCATGCGGGTAAAGGCAATCTGAGGAGAGCCATGCAGGTGGGGGGAGGGAGAGCCCTCGGACAGGCTCCTATGAGATCAGCAGCACCGGATTTTCAACTCAGGCTCGGGACATAGCATTAGTAACATATTCTTGGCTTAGGACCACTCACTGAGGAGTCTTCCAGCCCTGCTGTCAGTAGGAAAGGCCACATTCTATTGCTTTCACGGTCAGTCCGCACTGGCTCCAAGGATGGTGACCTTTCTGTTGCGGCCACGGCCCTCCTCACCCCTCACACACCTTCGCCGTGTCTCGCCCTTGTCTCCCCTGTTTCTCCCTGTGTCTCGCCCTTGCCTCCCCCGTTTCTCCCCGTCTCTCGCCATTCCCCCCCTCACTCAGTCCGCTCTGCCCCCAGGGGTAGTGACCTTCGTGCTGGCCAACGAGTACAAGTCCCACACTGCCATTCATAGCACCGGGTGAGTACACTTATCTGTATATATGTACAAGGTGTATATATGAATGTCTGCACAAATATACACTTCTCCCAGGACGTGGTACATTCTGATCTCGAGGAGCATGTACGGGACCGGATGACGAGAACGAACAGTCTACGGCTGATCTTGCATGCCCCCACACCCGTTTGTTCATTGTTTTCCAGCTCTCATGACAAATGCGTGCATCCATCTCATTCCCTTGACATTTAGTGTGTTCGGGAGTTCCAAACGCCTCTTGAGTTGCCCCAACGCTATTTCCTCATCCCATCTCCCTTCGCCGCCACCATGCTCCGCCTTTGACTTGGCCTCCCCTCCCATCTTGCAGGGTTTGCTTTGGGACCTTAATATCTTTTCCCATACTCATGGGCTATTATCTTCTCCTGGGAGAGTGAAGTAACAGTTGTACAAAATGCTGGCTGGGTTGTACCATTGCAATGTGTTTTTTATAGTGTAATATATGCTTCATTGATTGTTTATATGTAGACTACTATATTTTTTTTGGGGCCGTTGTGATCAGGGGAAACGCATAAACCATTGCAACAGAAGAGGCGACAATTGAAACGAAACAGGAGACGGCGACTTGCCCAAAACAATCGAGGCAAAGCGCCAGCGTCGCACATGCGCGAACGTGCGAATCTCAATCGTCGCACCGCCTTGATTCACCCGTGGAAACGAAAGATTGTGCGTATGACGCGTTACGACATCGAAATTCGAGGTCATTTGGACGGTCAGATGAGGCCAGAATTCGTCATGCGGATGTGCAGTCGGTGTCAGTCGTAACATGTACATGAGGTGGCATCAAACGAGTGGTTAGTATTCTGAATGTCTCAGAAAACCTCGAGAGTATGGTCGTGCGATTCGCGCATCTGCTTGCGCTCGGACCAGACTTTGCCAAAACTGTTGTCCAAGCTGACGCTGACAGCCCGCCGCAGTGACGCAGAAATAGTTGTCCCTGACGCCAACTGCAATCCACTGTTGTGCAAAATTCACACATGCCAGACAAAACCACTGCTGCCACTGACCCGAACCCATGGCCAGGATGTGTGGTTCGGTAGCCTCGAGTTTTATTGTGAGACGGTTCGGCAAATTCTTGGGGGTCATGCACCTCGAACTCAGCCCTGGGTCTCAAAGGATACATATCGGTCAAGAAGATTCTTGTATGGTTAAGCATGGTGACTTGCTCTCCGGTTCTTACCTTGGCAACACTCGAACCTCCTATGGGCGTGAGGCCACAACTCAAATCAAGAATCTCTTGATTGCCCTCACCGCCACACAGTATCAGCCAAACCTTTTTGCCTTGCCCCAACTTTCTTGCCTTCTCCCAAACCTCCAAACCACCAGATTTCGGCTCGGAACCTCCAAACCTTTACTTCCCTTATCTCCCTTATCCCCTCTGCGCCCCCAATTTCCTCCGTCTCTCTCCCCTCCTCTCCCTCCTTTCGCCACCTCTCCCCCATCTCCGAACGAAAGCGTATTATCGTCCAGAAGCATTCATTGGCACATATTTCAGGGGGCACGATTCTTTCTTTATCTTGCCTCACTTCATTCTGACACGCATCCTTGCATATGCAACCTCGAATCCGCCATGACCATCTCACCAGCTGACGCGGAAGCGCCGCCGCGACTCGCGGCGGGATGCTCTTTCATGTGCTGCAAGCGCCACGCCTTCGTTTTCTCCACCTCCATCGGCAGTACCAACTTCAGCGTCTGCGTCGCTTGCGCCGCCTCGCGATGGCTCAGACACACCATTTTCGCGCTCCCATCCTTCCTCCTCGTGCTGACCGCTTTCTGGGCGATTAACGAGCTCCTGCTCCCCGTGCAATGGCGCTTCGACCTTACGGCGCCTCGCGTATTAACTCCGCGCATTCTCGTCCTGATGCTTCTGACTTGTCCTGTGATCTGGCACGAGTGGGTGATCCCACGCGTGAACGCGCGGCGAGAGCGGCGCGAAGACCGGCGGAGGGAGCAGCGGCTCGAAAAAGGGATCAAAGACGCTCGGTTGCGGAAAGAAGCGACTCGGCGCTGTCGCAACTGCATGACTGCGTATCGCGATCAGTCGCCATCGTCGGGGAGGTTTACCTGTGGCGGTTGCGGACACGTGTCGCGCCGTCCGGTGCTCGATCTGCTCAATACAAGCCGTCCCGATAATGTACGAGATCAAAGTCATCAACGGTCATGCGTTGCGGAGCCTAGCCCTCGTCGGCAGCAACAAGAGCAGCAAGAGAATCAGGAAGAGCAGCAGCAACAACAACAGCAAACAAAGGAGCAGCAGCATTTCTCCCTTCCACCAACCGAAGAAGAGATTAGCAGTAGAAGCAGCGACAGGGGCAATGTAGGGTGCGGCAGACACGACACTATCGCGCACGAGACCCGCGCACACAGTATAAGCGCAGACGGTACTAGCGCGCACGAAAGTAGCCGTATTCAGAGGACCCTTGAAAATGCCGACGATAGCTCCGCCCGAAGCCGGCCCTGGTTGCGCAATATCGTTTTTCCCGCCGTTTTCCTCCCCATTGCGGCGGTTTGGCGTGCTATTCTTCAGGCGATGGCGCTTCTTGTCTCCGCCGCGCACTGGTTGCGCCGACGGCTCGTAGGCCCGCGCACGGCGGAAGCTGGTGTGCGCGGAGGTTCCGCCTCCGCAAGCGCTGAAGCGTCCGCGGACAGGGCAGCTCGGGCTCGGCGGAAGTTGGGGATGCGGAAGCTTACGCGGGCGGAGCGGGAAGCGACGGAGGCGGAGGAGCGGAAACAGCGCGAGGAGATTGCGCAAATGGTGGAGGCGCAGCGGAAGGCGCGGGAGCAGGCGGAGGGGACGAATAACTGGGAAGTTGCCGGGAAAAAGCCCGCGACTGTGGGGAAAGCGGTCGAGGTACCAACAATAACGAGACGGGCTTTAACGAATAAAGAGAACTGCCCGTATAAGGGAGGCCGGTCCCACCGCGTAGTGAGCGGTAAGTCGCTTACTGGGCAGACGAAAAGTTTAGGGCAGCCCATTAACAGCGCGCGCAAGGCGGATTCGAGCAGTGCGCGCACGGCGGAAAAAGCGCCTGTGGCGACTGCGCAAGCGGGCGTGTTGGGGAGGGGGCAGTTGCGCAGTGGGGCGCCCGCGAGTTGTGATAATAAAGGTTTTGAGGCGCCCGCGTCGTGGAATAAGGAAAGCAGCAGCGGAGTTGCTACCAGCGGCGGCAGCAGCGGCGGCAGTAGCAGCAGTAGCAGCGGCGGCGGCGGCGGAGGCGCGCGAAATAAGGGAACATCTTTGTGCCCAGCGCCCCCGCCGCGTTCTTCTAACGAGTACACTTCTTCCCCGATTCAAGCCTCTCCGCCCACTCGAGACAGTCGCACGTTCTCCCAGGTGGCAAAAAGCAGCAGTAGGAGAAGCAGCGGGGAGCGCGACAAGCACGGTGGCAGGAAGACGGGGGAAAACGAAGCTGGACCTTCCTTTGTCAGGTCGGGCGATTGGACGGGAAAAGAATGGCCGCAGTGGGATTCTGGTATTGGCACTTGTAGCAGCAGCAGCAGCAGCAGCAGCAGCAGCAGCAGCGTGGAGAGCAGTGGCAGTAGTGCAAGATTTCCCAAGGCTGCAAGCGTCTCTGAACCCTCCACAGTGACGAAAGTTTCTGAACTGACAGGGACGGGTAACTCTGAACTGACAGGGACGGCGTGCCTCTGGTCGTACCCTGCCATTGCTCCCTTGCTTCATTCCGCTCCTGCTCCTGCTCCTGCTGCTGTAACGTCAGTGTCACCATCACCATCAGCCTGTGACTCCCTGCCCTCCTTCTCCTCCTCTTCCTTCCCATCCTCCTCCTTCACCACTCCTATCAAGCAACAGCAACAGCACCAGAAACAGCAGCAGCAGCAGCAGCAGCAGGGGGAGGAGGAGGCGGTAGTGTGTGGGAGGGAGTGGCAGATGTGGGGCTCTTCTCACCGCCTCACAGACGCCTTTGGCTTCACACCTCCTTCCGTTGCTTCCTCCTCCGCTGCTCTTCCCTCCTCCTCCCCTCTTCCCGCCTCCGCTCTTTCCTCAACCCCTGTTCCTTCCTCTTCTGTTGCCTCCCTCACCACCAACACCCCCACCACTTCCCTCACCACCACCACCACCACCATCACCATAACCACCCCCACTCCTCCTCATTCCTACCTCGCGAATCCCTTCGCCCTCCCCTTCTCCTCGCCCTTTTCTCTCGGTTTCTCACCCACGCTCATGCCCGCCGCACCCGTCGACCCGGCGCCACTGACCGACAGCCCGCTCAACCTCGGCGCCAGTGTTGCTGCTCTCCCCGGCTCTGCTGTGGGCTGGGTAGAGAGGAGCGGTTTCCCCCTTGAACAGAGAGGACCAAAGAACACTCTTCATACAGAGAGGAGCAGCTTTCCTGGATCGTGGAGTGCAGGGGGGGTGGCTTCTGAGTCGACTCACAAGTCACCTTGTTTCCCTGGGTCCTGGAGTGTAGGGGGAGTGAACTCTGAATCGACTTCTGAGTCGACTCAAAAGTCGCCTGGTTTCCCTGGATCCTGGAGTGCAGGGGGGCAAGATCTGACTGGGTTTGGCGATGCACTAAAGAGTGACGCGTTTAGGGCAGCGATCGGTGGTGGCGGTGGAGGGGTGGGTGGCCGGGTGGGCGGCGGGGCGGGCGGCGGAGTGGTGCGGGCGGCGTGGATGGCGGAGATGTGGGACGAGGACGTGCCGCCCGCTTTCGTGGACTGTATCACGCAGGAGATCATGCGCGACCCGGTGATCACGGCCGATGGGCACTCATATGAGCGTGCTGCCATCGAGAAATGGCTCGTGTGAGTGTGTGTAGGGAGGAGAGGGGAGGTTTGAGGGAGGGAGTCAGGTTTCATTCATCTGGTGTTGCGAGGGAGGCATGTGTGTGTTGGGAGGGAGGCATGTGTGTGTTGGGAGGGAGGGGCAACACGAACAGGTAAAGGGGAGATCATGTAGGATCCGGTGATCACAGCCGATGGGCACTCGTATGAGCGTGCTGCCATCAAGAAATGGCTCGTGTGAGTGCATGAAAGAGGGGGTGGGGGTGAGGGAGAAAGGGAATTGGGTGTGGGTGTGGGTGTGGGTGTGGGTGTGGGTGTGGGTGTGGGTGCAGATTTGGAGGTCTAAACCACAATTTTTGCCTCTTTTTTTCTTTCGATTCTCTCTCACCTGCAGGCACCACGACACGAGCCCCATGACTGGCAAAGTGCTGCCCCCCTTACACTCCACACCTGCTGCTACTGCTGCTATAACTACCACGGATGCTGCTACAGCTGCTGACCCCTTGCAGGGAGCCTCTTTTTCTCCTTGCCTTGTGGGGTGCAGCTGCAAGCACAGTGGCAGCTGCATGGTCCGAGGCCGGTGCAGTGCAGTTGGGAGTGGGGAGGGGTGTGTTGAGAGCGGTGGTGAGGGGTGCAGCGGGCATTGCGTGGTGGACAAGACGCTGCGGCCGAACCACATTCTGCGCGGGCAGATCATCGAGTTTCAGGAGATGATGGCGCTGCAGTGAGTTCACTGGAAACTTTGATTTGAGAATGGTGTTGTGCCGTGCCGTGCCGTGCCGTGCTGTGTCATGCCGTGCCGTGCTGTGCCATGCCGTGTGCTTGACTGCTTTCTTTTCATCATCCATCCGCGGTCAGGTCACCGAGTTTGAGGAGATGATGGCGCTGCAGTGAGCTGAATGGCTCCTGAAAATTCTTTTAAAAATGTGTGACGTGACGTGTAGTGTTGTTCTGTTCTGTGCTGTGATGCTCCTCAGTAACCCCTTCTCCCTCCTTCTCTCCCTCCTTCTCTCCCTCCTTCTCTCCCTCCTTCTCTCCCTCCTTCTCTCCCTCCTTCTCTCCCTCCTTCTCTCCCTCCTTCTCTCCCTCCTTCTCTCCCTCCTTCTCTCCCTCCTTCTCTCCCTCCTTCTCTCCCTCCTTTATCCTTCCCCTTTCTACTCCGCCCTGCCGCTCTCTGCTCCCTCTGCTCCTCTCTGCTCCTCCTTTTTCCTCGCTGCTTGTCTCTTGTCTGCATGGCTGGCAGGGCAAGGGAGCGCACAGCAGCAGCTGCACCCACACGCACTGCACATGCATTTGCAGCTTAGGGTTGCATACTGTGTGCATACCCGCAGCCCAACACTGTGCAGCAGCTGCTGCATACATATTGCGCCACTCTTTATCGCTCTTGAGCACCAACATTAGTACTTGAAGCCTAAACGGGCTGATTGAAAGTCGCGGGATGCACTTTTGAGAACTCACTGATGGAATGGCTGGGGTGATACTGGTGCCATGCTGATGGAAATATCAACTTCTCGCCTGCCTAGTGTCCAAAATGTGTCAGTAGGCCATGCTGATATGATATCCTGTGTCCAGAATGTGTCAGCAGGCTCAAAATGCTGACATCCTGTGCTGAACCTGCTGAGGAGAACCCCACACTGTTACTCTGGTTCTGTTCATTAGGCCAGCGACCAGTAACTTGTCAGAGAAAGCAAGACAAGCAAGAACAGTGGGCGAAGATAATGGCATTGATGAATCACGTCATGCAAGGAGGAAAGTACAGGGGGGAATGATTTTGTGTCATATTGAAATCACTTGTCAGAATTCCCATCTTGAAAGCACTGCTAAGATAATTATGGCAAATCTATGATCGATGGGGTTGCAAAGCATCCATACCGGTAAGTGTTGTAAAAGTCATAGTAGTACCAGAAACCCTATGCTAGCTAGCTATACACACACCGCCCACTCCTGCTTGTAGTGCGTACACCCCGCTCACCTGCACCACCCTCACCTTCCTCCACACCTTCCTCCCCTTCTGCACCACCAACAGCACTGCGCAACCTTCTCCTGTTACTATCATCACCTTCACTGTCACTCCTGCTTTCCCTGACACCACCACCACTGCCGCTCCTGCTGCTGCTGCTGCTGCTCCTGCTGCTGCCGCCACTGCCGCCACACTTCCCCAGAAGCCAGTCCATCATGGCATGCCCATGCTCGCTTGTCATCTCATGAAACGCAAACGCAACGTTCAACTCCTCCTCTATCGCTCCCTCCATCGCCTCACTAAACCCACCCTCTCCACCCCCATTCTCACCACTCTCTGCTGTCCCATCCTCCCCTTCACCCGTCCCTTCCTCCTCCTCCTCCCTACCTTCTGCTTCTCCTCCTGTTCCTTTCCCCGCCCCGCTCTTTCTCTCAGAGTATTTACTCGCCCGTGCTAGTTCCTCCATTACCCCTTCTTTCTGCAACACAGCAACCCATCCCGACCGCCTGCCATCCCTCACCATCCTCCCATCCTCCCCCACCACCCCTCCCCGCTTCAACGCCTGGAAAATCCTCTCCGAAGCTGCCGGGGTTAGGCTTGGTATCCGGTCTGACAGGAAGCTCGGCCCGAGCCTCTTCTCCAGGCACGGGATCTGCCCAGCCTCGGCGCCTTTCGATCGGAGAATCTCGACTGCCCGTTCGACCGCCTCGGCGCGCTGCTCGTCTTTTGGCATGTGGACAAAGAGGGTCGGCGGGAACTGCTGCCCGGAGGGCAGCGGCGAGTCAAACGCCTTTTTGACTCCGCTGGAGATGATTATAACGAGGGCTTGCAGGTCAATGGAGTGTGCTAGTAACGAGATGAAGAATCCACCAGAAGAGGCACCCAGGGCGAAGAGAGGGAGGGTGTTGAATTGACGTTGCTGGCGCCAGGTCGTGAGAACCTGGACGACTGGGGGAATGTCAAGCGAACGATCCGGTGGGAAGGACGTATCCCAGCAGGTGGAAAGGCTTGGGTGGGCAGGGATTGGAAGGGTAGAGGGGAAGGAAGAGTGAGGGGGGAAGACAGGAAGAGTGAGCGGCAGTTAGGCACCAGGTGCTGAGACCCTGTATCACCAGGGGGAATGTCAATGTGGGCAAAGGGGCAGACACAAGCAGCCAACCTCCTGACAACGAACAGAACAGACAGCGCACCTGGGAAACCCAAGCCTACCTTGAGATGGCGATAACGGCCATTCGTCTCTTGAGGGCATGCTGAACAAGAGCCATGTCTTCAGGCAGGCCCAGGCAGGACGGGCAGGCGCGGTGGGGCGGCCAGAAGTGCGTGGCGCGGTGTGTGCACCCGTGCGCAAAGAACACCACTCCTGCCAATGGCAGGTCGCCACGTGGCACCTGCCACACCACCTCCCTGCCATGCATGGTTTCATATACTGGCACCAGTTCTGGCGCCTCTCCTTCCTCCTCCCTCTCCTCCTCTTCCTCCTCCTGCCGCTTCCCTGCCTTTGCTGGCACCTCCCCCTCCCCCTCCTCACCCCCCTCACCGCCTCCTCCTCCTCCTCCTCCTCCTCCTCCTTCTTCTCCCCCTCCCGTGCTTTCTCCTGTCCTTCCTCCTCCTCGTTTTCCTCCTCAGAAACACCTTTCGCTGTCCCCATTTTGACTCCTCCTCTTCCTCTTCCTCCTCCTCCTCCTCCTCCTCCTCATCTTCCTCGTCCTCGGACCCAGCGTCACTCTCACCACCCTTACGTTTCCTAAGTGCCGTCTGAGCCGATTCCAAATTCTTCCCCTTCTCCTCTTCTTCCTCCTCCTCCTCTTCCCTCGCACCCACGTCACTCTCTCCACCCTTCATCTTCCCTGTCGCTTTCCCTCCCCCACTCTCCACCCCGCCTTCTCCACCCTCCTCCTCCCCCTCCTCTTCTTCCTCGTACCGCACTGCACTCCTCTTCATCCTCTTCTGACCCTCTTCGTTCGCCCTCTCCTCCAGCTCACCACCATCCCCACCACCATAATCACTATCAGCAGCACTCCTCTTACTCCCCTCCCGCTCACTCTCACCAGCACTCTCCTCACCAGCACTCTCCTCCTTCCCCCCTCCCTTCTTCCCCCCATCACCGCGCCCATCCCCCAAGTCATCATCATAATCAAACCCTCCCCCGCGTCCCCTTTTCCCCTCCTCCTTACTCCCCTCCTCTCGTCTCCCCTCCTCCTTCCTCCCCTCCTCTCGTCTCCTCTCCTCTCGACCATCATCATCATCATCCCCACTCCCATGCTCCACCCCATTATCATAATCAAAACCTTCGCCCCGCCGCCTCGCATCTGCTGACCTTCTCTTCCCATCCTCCTCAATCTCCCTTTCCTCACTCTCCCTTTCCTCACTCTCCCTTTCCTCACTCTCCCTTTCCTCACTCTCCCTTTCCTCACTCTCTCCCTCCTCACTATCAGCACCCCTCCCACCAGCACCCTCTTTTTCTCTTTCTCGTGCACTACTCTTCCCTCCCTCCTTTCCTTCCTCCTCCTCGTTCTCGTTATTCCCATCCTCATAGGTGTCTCCAGGAAGCTTCGACCCGGCTTCCTTCCCCCCCTTTCTCTGCTTCAACAGACCCTCCTCGCCCGCCGCCGCCTCCCCTTCCGCCTCACCCCTCCCCGCTTCCACTTCCGCCTCCGCCTGCGCTTCCCCCTCCCCCGCTCCTTCATCTCCCGCTCCCCCTGCGCGCAACAGCTCTGACCTCCCCACAGACTGCCCTTCAGAATCCAGCCGAGAAGATGCAGAATCCTTTTCCGTTACCGTCTCGTCATCATCAGATGAATCCGTCTCAGTCTCCGACTGAGCACGGGTGAATCCACCCTCGTTAGAATCATCCTCACCTTCATCAGCGGAAACTAAACCGGACGAGTGTGCTTGTATCGAGGTGAATGGTATCGGAGTAAACGTTAGCTTAGAATCCCCTGCTGATTCCGGTCTACTCCTCACATTCAACTCAGCAGACGCCGGGAATTTTACATCTGCCACGTCAGCATCTCCAATTCTCGCGCCAGTTCCGTCACCGCTTACTATCTTATTAAACCGCTGCTTCGATATAGTCCCTTCGCCAAAGTCTATAGTGCGATGGTGGCGGCCATGGCGGTGGCGGTGGTGCCGCCTCGTGTGCGGCGATTCTTTGGAAATTAAGATGAACGCCGCGCGAGGAAAAACGCCGCTAGGACGTAAGTCGCGCCGCGAGCTCTGCGCACGGAGATATTATAGCTCGTCGACGAGACCCGGGGACTCCTAGGAACGTACATGATAGAACTGGAAAAGAGAATCAACGGATAAGCTAAGAAGCGTGCAGGCTGCTACGTTCCCAATTGATTCATGGACGCTCGGAAGTTGCGACGGCAGGTCTACATACAAACTGCGATGTTTCTCAACTTACGCGAGTGCACGCAGTCAGAACTCGGGATAGAGAAGCATGGCTGAAAGGGGGAGAAAAAAACAATGGTCCAGTTACAAGCAGGCTCTAGGAACAACAGTATTTTAGTCGTGCTGAATCTGTCGATGGTGGGAATGGTGCGGTGTCAGAAGCAGAGGTGACGGGCGGGAAAACCTGGGGATTTGCGGCAAAGACGGATTCGCGACGAGCTAACGATTAGATTTATGCTTGACGAAGTCACGTTACCGGGCGACGTTACGAATACATCTTGCAGGCGTGGGCTTTTGACAAGCAAAAACAGTGCCGCAGTTAGGCCACTTCTAGAAATATACTTCATCAAGGGGCAGTGCTAAGGTCAGGACAGCTCTTCCTTTCTGGTCCAACCCAATCAAGTTACTAGCCTGAACCGGCCACCAAAGCCCATTCTAAGCACCTACTATTGAGAACTTCCATCTTGCTACCACGTCTCACAAAACAATCGCGCTACAGCCTGCCTAGAAAATGTATGAGCAGAGCACAAACCCTTGGAAGCCAAGCTACAGACTTAGCAAGCGGCATAACTTAGGAAGCATGGGATATGGAAGGGAAGGAAAGCTTGCAGTGAAGCAAGAGATGGGGGTTGTGAGAGAGCGAAAGAGATAAGCGGGTTGCTAATATGGGGTTTAGGAGAGGAAGTGCAAGAGAGGCCAAGTACTGTGTGACAAAGCTAGGCAGCAGCACCAGAGCCAAGCGAGCAAGTAGGAGGTGCTATTTCCAGAAAGCTATTGCTGCTACCATCACCCACAATGCTGCTGCTGCTGATGGTGCTGCTGCTGCTGCTGCTGCTTGCTGGTTCTTCTGTTCAACAGCAGTCCAGTTGGCTGCTGTGCCAATGCCTGTGATAGTGCCCCATAGTTGCAGATGCCAACTATGATCCCTCCTCCCCTCCTTCCCCCCCACTTACTGCCGCTGCTCCCTTTCTATCCAGTGCTGCCACACAACCTCACCCCACTCCCTTGGTTGCGCCCAACAACCCTGCAGGCGATCACTATGTGGTCCCTATGCTTCCTACACTCCCTGTGCTGCCGGTGCAGCAAGTGCTGCCGGTGCTGCCGGTGCTGCCGGTGCTGCCGGTGCTGCCGGTGCTAGCCAACTCCTCGAACAACCTCCCTTCTGCGCAGCACAGCATTCTGACAAGATTCAGCACAAGCACCTGTCGATTGCTGATGCCTCCTCCCCCCTCCCTGACCCTTCCCCTTCACCCGTGACTGCATTTCAGCTGCAGCAGAGCCAACCACGCACCTGCTATTCCGTCAACTTGTGACGCGCCTCAAAACAAGGCTACTCCGTCCACTTGCCAGCTCCCCAACTCCGCTGCTCCCCTGCTTCCTTGCGTGGGAAAACCCCTCCCTCCCCCCAACTCCGCTGCTCCCCTGCTTCCTTGCGTGGGAAAACCCCTCCCTCCCCACCTCTCCCTCCTCTTCTCCGCCTCCCCACCCCAGCGCCCCAGCACCGTTCCAGACACTTGAGAGCATTCTCCCTCCCTCCTCCTCCCCCTCCTCCCTCCCTCCTCTTCTCTGCTCCCAACCCGCTCTGCTTCCCCCACCAGCCGCAATGCTCATCGCCCTCTTCACCCCACTTCTTCCCCTCTCCATCCTCTTCCCTCCCCCTTCCCTCCACCAGGTCAAACGATCCCTTGGGAAGGATATTCATCCCCATGAGCGTTTCAGCGGCCGCCTTCCTGCCCTGCCCAGTGGCAGTCGTCATAAACCGCCCAAGCATCTCCTCCCCTCATCCCCCTCCCCTCATCCCCCTCCCCACCGCCCATTTAGAGGTCAAACGACCCTTTAGGCAGGATATTCAACCGCATGAGCGTCTCAGCGGCCGTCTTCCTGCCCTGTCCCGTGGCAGTCGTCATGAACCGCCCCAGCGCCGTCACCGCCGGCTGCGAGTACTTGGGCGCGCGGTACTTCTTAATCGCAAACACCTTCTCCAGGATATACACCGCCCACTTGGTCAGCTCCTTGGTCCGTCCCACCACCCCCGCTGCCGCTTCGATCACGTCTAGTTTGACTAGAAGGTCTGCTGCTCTCTCGTGGTCCCCTTCGTCTGCCAGCAGGGTCGCCACCGAGGCTAGGCAGACCTCGGCTACCCGATCCTCGCTCCGCCGAACCAGCTCCAGTAGGATCGGGACGATGTCGCCCTCGACGAGGCAGAAGGTGGATTCCAGGCTGCATTTCCCCCCATGCACCTTGCAGGATCGGAGTTTGTCCGTTCCTGTTGTCACAGGGCTGGCTCCCGAGCCTGTCCCGCCGGTGCTCGCAGAGGCTCGCGAGTTGGACCGGGAGAAGTTGAGCTTCCAGGTCATGGCCTTGCCGAGCCTGCGGTCGAGCGAGGTTTGGTCGACTAGCTTCGGGGTGGAATGCGAGAGGTTCCCAAGCAGCACAGCAGAGGGGATCCGCATGACATCAGGCCCCATCTTGAGATAATGCACTGCCAGTTGAATCACCCCCAGCCGAGCCACAATCTGCTGCGCTTCTATATCATCAGGATCGGCGAGCTTCGACAAGCCAGACAGGATCGCCTCCTGCAACCGAGCCGAGCTCGCAGGGTTGGAGCTCCCCGGACCTGACGACGAGGCAGGACCCGCCCCCGGGTTCAAATTCAGGAACTTCTGCATGAGGGTAAACACCTGCTCCTCTACCCTCACCAGCGGCCGCATCTGCTTGTTCCCAGCCATGGTTCCCAGAACAATCACTATTGCCTCCCGCTCCTCCCCAGGCAGCGGCCGCGCGAGGAGCGTGGCAAGAGTTTTGACTACTTCTGGGGGAGCACACATCATCTCAGCTGCGTTGTGCTCCTGGCACAGGTGCCCCAGCAGCAGCAGCGCCGACGACCGCAAGCTCCCCGCCGCAAAGTGCGACGCGCTCTCCTGTAACACCTCGAAAATAGCGGTAACCGCACCGTCATCCTCCATCACCGCCGCCCGCATGGACTTGCTCTCCTTCGCCATACACTCCAGCGTTCTCACCGCGTAGTCCCTGTTCGTCTGCGGGCCCGCACGCAGCATCGTGATCAATCTAACGGCTGTCCCGTCCTCATCCAGCGCGTCCAAATCCTGGTCGTCCATTGCCAGATTCGCCAGGGTCGCCTGCGCGGCATTCTTCACCTCGGCAGACCCGCGAGCGAGGGCTTTAACGAGCGCGGGGATAACTCCTGCTTTAGCCAGAGCCATGCGGTTGAGATCGGTGTGGGAGAGATGCTCTATGGCTCTGGCCGCGGCGGCCTTGCCCTCTGGGGGGCCGTCGTTGAGAAGAGCGACGAGGGGGGGGAGCACCCCGCACTGCACGAGGGAGACGCGGTGGGCCTTGTTGACTCCCCACGTCATGACCCCATCCGCCATCATCATTCTCGTCTCCATGTCGCTCTCTGAGAGGGGTGGGGAGGATGGAGCAAGGATGAGCGGGTAAACGGACCCTTGTTGACGCCCCACGTCATGACCCCATCCGCCATCATCATTCTCGTCTCCATGTCGCTCTCTGCAGGGAACGGGGGGAGGATAGCAGATTGACGAATGAGGAGGCAAAGTAGGGATTGGAACCAAGCAACCACTTTGATGCGTCTCAACTCAAGCAGCCTTGTTGATCACCGTGTCACCACCCCATCTACAATCATCATCCTCGCCTGTTTGACACTCTCTGGGTTCACAGGTGTTCCCGTCACAGTTAACACGTTTCAAGGACAAACGCTGACCCCCCAGGTCATGATCCCTTGACCATACATCCCTGGTGCCAGTGGAGCAGATTTATCATCCCACCACCCCCATCGCCCCTGACCGTCCTGCCCGCCCCACGCCCCTCTCTCTCCCCCTCAAACTCTCTCCCTTGCACTCACCCACTCGCTCACTCACACACCCACGCAACTTACATCCCCACCCCCGCAACCACCTGGTTCGAGCAGGGCGACGAGCGGCTTGAACATGCCAACGGACGCCATCTGAATGACGACGTATGGGCTTCCTGCCCTACCCTTCCCCATCTCTCTCGCACCCACCCTCTTACCCACTCCCACCCACCTCCCTCCCACCTTCTTACCACCCGCCCACACACACACTGTCCCCCCACACACCTGGTTCGAGCAGCACGACGAGCGGCTTGAACATGCCAACGGACGCCATCTGAATGGCGACGTAGGGGTCGTCGCGCCAGTACGTCTCCAGCACGGCCTCCAGCAGCGCGCCCTTCTCGTCCTCCTGGTGCCAGTTGAGCAGCTTTATCATCTCCACCACCCCCATCGCGTCCGTCACCGCCTGCCGCAGCGCCGGGAAGCGCGAGAGCTCTAGAATCACCTGCACGGCTGGCGTCACGTCGGCTGTATCGTGCGTGATCAGGTGGATCACCGGGGGAATGCCCCCCGCGTCCGCTATCGACGTCTGGAGAGGGGAAAAGGGAGGAAGGGGAGGGGGAGAGGGGATGGGGGGAGGGGAGGCGGAGGGGAAGTGGGGACGATGGCCTCTGTGACTGCCAGAGGCAGCGCAGGGGACCGTCGAAACTCCAGGACCAGCCACATTTTTAGGGATCACAGCGTGGCCATTTTTAGTAAGCCAATCATTATCTCAAGGGTACTTGCTGGTGAGATCACGAAGGGGAAAACTGCAGTTTTGCGACCAAAAGCGAAGGGCGTTGGGAGAAATGCGTTTTCGTTTTTCTCGCTCTCTGTTGAAGAATTAGCGTTCGATTCAAAGAGCGAAAAGAATGGGGTGCTTGGGCTGGGAGCACGTTTGGAAATTAAACTCACCGATTCTGCCTCTTAAAGGCTGGCAATATTCCGCAAAGACCGTTAGCGCGCCCTCCCTTATTTTTGAGGCGCCAAAAGAAAAGAAAAAGAAAAAGAAAAAACGCTAACCGATTCAGCCTCTCCGAGGCTGGCAATGTTTCTCAGCACCGCCACCGATTATGTTTCTCAGCACCGCCACCGATTATGTTTCTCAGAATGGGGTGCTTGGGAGCGCGTTTGGAAAATAAACTCACCGATTCTGCCTCTCCGAGGCTGGCAATGTTCCGCAGCACCGTCACCGAGCCCTCCCGCACCGGTCCCGCGCCTCTCTCCGTCACCAGCCGCACCAGCGGCACCACGGCGCCGATCTCCGCGAGCTGCGCGGCGTACTTCTTATCCTGCGATGACAGCTGCGCCATCGCCTCCACCGCCTCCTCCTCCCTCTCCCCTCCGCTCGCCTCCTTCGGCTCTTCTTTCGGCGGAGGCTCCGGACCTTTCTTTTTCTTCTTCGCCGCCGCTTTTTTCTCCTCCTCTTTCTTCCGCTCCTCCTCCGCCTTTGCCGCTTCTTCCGCCAGAATCGCCTCCGCCGCTTCCCCCCCCGCGGCCAGCGCGGCTGCTCTCGCTTCTGCCGCCGCCGCGGCCTCCGCCGCTCGTTGCTCCATACCGTCTCTTATTATCCGCGCGGCTTCGTCCAGCGTCTTTCGGTTCAGCTCGTCGTAACTCTCCTCTATGCCCTTTCGGATCTCCACGTTGCAGACCAGCTCCACGCTTTTGAGGTGCTTCCCGCTCTTCGGACACACGCGCTTCCCCTTCGCGAAAAAGTTTTCGATCGCGTTGCGATTGTACGTGTCACCCGTTTCGACCAGGGTAACCGGATCTCGCATCACTTCGCCCGTCATCGCGCACTTAAAGTTATCCGGAACCGCCATCCCGAGCTCCTCCCGGAGCCGCAGCGCGAGCCGCGAAAACGTCTGCGTGATCGGCGCTTCACTGGAAATACTCGCAAGGCTGACGAGCGTTTTCAACTCCGTTAGCTTATCCACATCCATCCACCGCTCCTCCTTCTCCGCTACAAGCAGATCCCGCTGCACTTCCTCCTTAAGCACATCCGATTGCGACGACGGCATCCCTAGAAATTTCAACACGCGCTCCACCAGCGCCGTCGCAACTTTCTTGCTGTTCTTCGTTACGCCGTCCTCCAACGCCAGCGAAAGCTCCGCAACTTCCGGCTCCGAATCGAACGTCGCGACCCGCATTCGGCCGCGGAGGTCTGTCAGCCGATTCGCGACGTCCGTCGGTAGCGACGACATGATACTCAGGACCGGCATGAGGTTCAGATCGTGACCCACCTCCTGAACCATCCGCTGCAAGTCGCCGACTAATTTGTCCGTGTCGAAGATTAAGAACAGCCGGCTGCACTCCGTGTGGTCCTTAGTCAGCTTCTTAAGATCATCCAGGGCCGTTTTCAGACGCTTCATGCCGTTTAAGGCTTCTGATGACGATTTGGTCAGGTCGCGTTTCGTGTTGAGCTGTGACAGGACTTCGCGAAGCTCGCCTAGGTAAAACGCCATTGTTAAGAAACTTGCGGTGTCGACCGGAACTTTCGGCGCGAGCCGCCTGGTCTCCTCGATGGTCTTGAGCATTGAGTCCACCATGGACGCCAAACTAGGGTTTGACGAACTCATGGTGACCTGTCTGGTGCTGTTAATCCTAACGATGCGTTAGCTCTGATGAAATATTCTTGATATATACCGTTTGGACTGTGGACAAGCTAATGTAGGGATGAAATTAGGTGCGACAGAGTTAGCGTTTCTGATAGTCCTGACGCTGATGCTGACGTGCATGTTTATGTCTGGTCTATCGGACACGGTTTAGGGGAATAGAACGGGTACGGACGAGGCGCCATAGGGACAATGCAGGATGATGGAAATAAATAGAAATCGGTAAGGAGTGAGAGAAACCTAAGGTGACCTAATCAATCCTATCGGTAATCCCTATATCAGCAAGACCCCGGAGCTCTAGAAAGATAACACTTGCCAGTTGTAATTAGTCAACAAATCAACTGGTTCTGCTGGCTCTGGAAGAAGAGGCGAGAATAAAGGAGATAAGAAAGTCGTCGTACGGCGGATAAAGCGGAGATGCCAACGCACGGGTGTTGTTTTCTAAACATGGCAGGCTGATTGATTCAATTGATGGGCCAACAGCAGCCAAGTAGGTTTCGAGGATTGCCCCAACTTCATTCTGGCTAACTATCCTACCTGACCAGTCTGATTATTTAATGAACTGCTCTGAAACGCAAACAACCTCATTGAGCCGCAAAATATCAGGCAGAGGTAAAATGGCATTGCCAGATATGTGACGGGTGGATGGAAGAAGGGAGGCAGTCTTGGGACGGGTGCGGGTGGTCGTTGGCGGAAGCACTGTACAGCCCAGGGGTGCGGGGGAAGGTTGGGCGCAACGGGCTCAAACGGGCGCAACTGGCAATGGGGGACGACGATGACCAGTTTTCTCTCCCTGCTGCCTTTCGTGCTTCTGGGGACCGCGGATGAGGCGGGAGTTCGGGGAACGACCGGCGAAGAACGCGCGGAGACTTCAAGGTTGGTTACTGTGCTATCGTGTTGAGCTGACAGGGAAAGGGATGGCGAGTGCGCGAGTTAACGTAATGCGGTAACTGATCGTCGAGGCGCAGGGCTGGTTGCCAGTCTGTATTTTCGAGACGCAGGCCGCAATAGTTGTAGGGGGGGGGGGTCAATGGCGACAGTGCAGACCGGCCAGCGACAGCTGTGCGAAGAAGCACACAAAGACCAGTAGCGACGACAGTCAGCTCCGTGTAAATGCACTCTAGGTCGGACTTCGGTAGCAACGGTATGGAATTCGAAAGACGTGTCAGCAGTAAACAGAGGAATGTCGGTCAACCCGTATAAACCCAACTTTACCGCTCGGTGGTGTAATCACGCAGGACTCGATATTGAAATGCGTTGCAATCACACAACCACCCTCCAGCCCCTCGTACCCCCGCTAATGTCAATATGGCAAGGGATCTGGTCCCTCGGAAATTTTCAGATCCGACGTCCCTGAGTCAAGCGGTAGTTTCCCGCGTTTCATCACCTCGATTCTGCCGCTTCTTCAGCCGACATCCTCCCTTCCTCCAGATTCCATTTCACACGCATCTTTCCTTCTTTTTCTCAGCGATAGACGACTGCTAGATTCTCTGGCTGCTAACAGCTGACGCCATGGCCCAGTTTGCGGATCTACTACAGTCGCTGAAAGATGCGTTGAGTTCCTCTTCCGACGGCTGGCCGGTACCTCTGCCAGTAGTCGTCGCTGTGGCCGTTGGGGGAATCCTCCTGCTTCTCTTTGTTTCTCTCAACGCGAAGCCTCGAAGAAAAGGTGCATTTTATGTTCGTTATGAAGCAGACAATTCCAGATTCGACTGAAGCGTGCTGTCGTTTGACGACTCGTCACATTCATACTACTTTTCCCCCCCCCCAAAAAAAACTTCGTCTGTTTCCTTCGCCATTCTCAGCTGATCGAGCCGATCAGGCCGTTAAAGAGTCTCAAAAGTCAATCATCTCCCGTCTTCTCCCCGTCGCTCCTTGCAGTGGCTCTACACCCCGAGGAATGGCGGAAATTTCAGCTGATCGATCGGACCAACATCACCCACAACGTCGTTAAGTTCAGCTTCTCCCTTCAATCACCAGACACGGTGCTGGGGCTTCCCATCGGACAACACGTCAGCCTGCAGTAAGAATGGCTTGCAGTAAGAATGCCTTTTGAGACGTTGCGAACATCTCCTCCTGCTGCTGTTCCTTATTCCATCTGCCGTTACTCCCTATTCTGCCGCTTTTACTTCGCGGTTCCCTCGGTCTCTTCTTCTCTGTCGTACGCATTCCTACCCTTATTTTTCTTCCCGCCCTCTGCTTTCTTCCCGGACCAGGGGCAAGGACGAGAACGGGAAGGAGTTCATGCGACCGTACACGCCGACAACGCTCGACACCGATGTCGGATGCGTTGATATCGTCATCAAGGTAAAGTTCTGCCCTTCCCCTTTACCTTGTGCCCCCCCTTCCCCCCGCTGCCTCCCTCTTTTCTGCTCTCGCGCCTTCCTCAACACTTGCACCCCGGATATCTACCACGCACACACCCACAGGCGCACAGGGATCAAGCCTTATGGTATATCGCATTCCTCCCTGCGTGCCTGCTCTTCCATCCTTTACCTCCCTTCCCACCAGATCTACCCCAATGGCGCCATGTCGCAGTACCTCAAAAAGCTGGAGGTCGGCAACTGTTCCTGAATTGACTTGACTTGACTTGCCTTGACTCTCCTCCCCTGCCCTCCCCTCTCTTCCCTCCCCTCCCCTCGCCTCCCCTCCCCTCCCCCCTTCCCCTCCCTCCCCCCCCCCCCCCCCCCCTTCCCACCAGATCTACCCCAATGGCGCCATGTCTCAGTACCTCAGCAAGCTGGAGGTCGGCAACTTCGTCGCCATGCGAGGGCCCAAGGTGAGGTGCTGTGGAAAGAGTTGAGGAACAGTGAAGAGAGGTGAGGAGCGGTGGAGAAAGGTGAGGGAAGAGGGATCTCCACCGCCCCAATATTTCCCAATGCACGGCTTGACAGCGCCTCTCAGTCCCCTCTCGCTATGCTACCATGCCATGACATCTTTAGACCCCTGAAAGACAAAACTTTGACATCTTTGAGAGTCACATAGCGCATCCTTGGAGCTATGGTGACGTTAAGTCGACTCACTCGCCCGTTCCTGCTTTTCCTGCCTTCATCCATCCGCTCCTGCCTTCTTCCCCCGCCCCACCAACCGGCTCCCCAGGGTCGCTTCAAGTACCGTCCCAACATGTGCCGTGCGATCGGCATGATTGCAGGAGGCACCGGGGTGACTCCCATGTTCCAGGTGGGTCGGACATGGTGCTTCTATGTTCTATGCGGTTGGAAACGGTTCTGCTGTGTGTCAGGCATGACTTGAGTCGGCAGAGAAGGCATGATTGCAGGAGGCACCGGGGTGACTCCCATGTTCCAGGGTGGTTGGGAATGGCGATGCTGTGTGTTAGGTGAAATGGAGTTGTTCCGAATATTGACATTCAGGAAAATACCTCGTCCCATGTCTGCATTCAACGAGGTGACTTTTTGAGTCGACTCAAAAGTCGAGTCGACTTAAAAATTACCTTGGAAAATACATCGTCCCATGTCTGCATGCCCTGATCCCCACCTCCTCGGACTTCTCCTGCTCCCACTCCCACCCCCTCCCCCTCTCCAATCCTCCCCCCTCCCCCCTCCCCTTTCCTGTCCCCCTCCCCTTGCTTCTCCCCCTCCTGCCCCGACTTCACCTTTCACACGCCACCTTTCCCAACATCCTCCCTCACCATTCAGCACATGCGAGAGCTGTGCTGGGTTGTGACAGCCATGTGCTCGCACATGTGCTCTTCTCACCTCACCAAATTCCCCTCCCTGCCTCTCCTCTCCTCCTTGCCCCCTCCCCTTTTTCCCTTTCTTCCTGCATCCCTCCCCCAACCAGGTTGCACGTGCTATTCTCGAGAACCCAGCGGACCGCACCAGCATCTCGCTCATCTTTGCCAACGTCACAGCCGATGATATCCTGCTCAAGGTGCGTGCGCACACACAGAGATGTGACGTGCAGAGTTCGCCTCAACACACATGTGCCTCTCTCGAGTTAAAAGTCGTCTCGCTCATCTTTGCTCACGTCACGGTCACGGCTGATGATATCCTGCTCAAGGTGCGCACACACTGAAACGAAGTGACTTCTGAGGTGACTCAAATTGAACCCAGCGGACCGCACCAGCATCTCGCTTATCTTTGCCAACGTCACGGTCACAGCAGATGATATCCTGCTCAAGGTGCGCATGTCTCTTGATGCAGCTTCCACATGTGCCGTGCAACGCCTCTTTATACGCCTCCTCAAGTCCTGCTTGGGTATTCGGTGATGTCTACTTGTGTGCTAAAAGTGCGGGCTTGTTTCCTCAACGTTGGACGTTGCAAACCGCTTTCAGATGGATAGGTCCAAATCCGTTTCGTGCCTCGTGTTTTCCTTTTCCCTGTGCCTTGCCCCTCAAACCCTCCACCCCCTCCACCCCCTCCTGCCCTCCACCCCTCCACCCCCTCCACCCCCTCCTGCCCTCCACCCCCGCTGCCCCTCGAATGCCCCTCGACCCAATGCCCCTGTTACAGGACGAGCTAGAGGCACTGCACAAGTCAGCCCCTGATCGATTCTCCATCTACTATGTGCTTAACGAGGTATGTGCTTGTATGTGGTTAGCAAGGTATGTCCTTAACGAGTCAAGGAGTGTGGTTGCTGCCTCTCTTCGAACGCTTTCTTTTCCTCTCACCCTGTCAGCACTCTTCCCTCTTACCTTCCATCCCCTCCAACCTCCGCCCTCCTCCAACAGCCACCGGAGGGATGGGCGGGAGGAGTGGGCTTTGTCACCCCAGCCATGATCAAGGAGCACATCCCTGCACCTCCCTCATGTCTCTCTCCCCCATACCCTCCATTTCTCCCTCCTCCCCCATCTCGCTCCCCCTAACAGCCACCAGAGGGTTGGACCGGGGGAGTGGGCTTTGTCACCCCAGCTATGATCAAAGAGCACATCCCTGCACCTGCTGCTGATGTCATGGTGCGTACTGCTAGCATGGTTGAACTGGCGTCGCGGTATGTGCTATTGCTCTTGTGTGGGCTTTGTCACCCCAACCCCAGCCATGATCAAGGAGCACATCCCTGCACCTGCTTCCGATGTCATGGTGCGTGCTAAGTTTCACTGCTTCCGATGTCACGGTGCGTGCTAAGTTTCACTGCTTCCGATGTCACGGTGCGTGCTAAGTTTCACTGCTTCCGATGTCACGGTGCGTGCTAAGTTTCACTGCTTCCGATGTCACGGTGCGTGCTAAGTTTCACTGCTTCCGATGTCACGGTGCGTGCTAAGTTTCACTGCTTCCGATGTCACGGTGCGTGCTAAGTTTCACTGCGGTCTTGCTTTGCTGCATGCCTGCTCCTCTTGCACCCCCCAAGTACAACCTTGGCCGAATGTGTGTTTCCCCCCCTTTCTCCGAATGCATTGACCATGCTGCCTTGTCCACGTTCTATGTTCTCACTCCTATGATGTGCCGCACATTCTGTTTCTTGAGGATTCTCAAATAACAGACTCCAATGATGTGCTGCCCATTCCCTCCAATCATGCTCACATGCTGCCAGGTGGTGCGGTGTGGGCCCCCTCCAATGAACAAGGCCATGGCTGCCGCCCTGCAGGAGCTGGGTTATCCCAGCGACTCCCTCTTCCAGTTCTAGTGCAGTGCGGTGCATTGCGGTGCAGTGCAATTAGCTGCAACTTGATCCAATCAACTCAAACCCCACTTCTCAATAAACAACACTGTGGCTGCCGCTCTGCAGGAGCTGATGACTCCAACGACCCTCTTATCCCGTTTTCGAACCAACGCCTCTTTCAAAGGCGATGGTGCACGTGCTGTAGCGCAACACGCTGCAATGTGGTGCTATGCGGTGCAGACCACAATTCAGGTCCCCCTCCGCAGTGAGCAAACCTCACTTTCAGTCCTGAATCAGCCTCTTTCCGTTGCAGCATTTTTTTTCAGCTGCATTCACCGTTGGAAAAAGGGAAAAGGGTAGGCAGATTCATAAGGCCTGTAGTCAAGCAGGTGACATTGATTTTAGCGGATACAACATGGGATTCGCCCGATGGCATAGGAATTCGGTAACATGCATGCTATAGCTCATTCCCTTCATTCTGAAGTAGAAGCAATCTATACGCATTGACAGTAGCAGAACAGGCAACCGCGACGTCATGCTTCACCAGCAACAGCAACACATGGTAAAAAAAACCAGACTTTTAATTGAATACAACACATGCAGCAGCTGCTGCTGCTCTTGCTGCTGCAATTGCTGCTACTGCTTCTGTTGCCATTGCTGATACCACTTCAGCCGCGACCGATCTTGCTACCGATTCTACAGGTAGTATGCTGCTGGGGAGAGTTAAGGGAGTAGCAGGGTCTGCTAAGCAGAGTCTAGTCGAAGAGAGAGAAGCCCATGTCGTCGTCACTCTCCTCCTTCTCCTCCTCCTTCTCCTCCTTTTTGGCCTCCTCAGCAGGCGCAGCAGCACCACCGCTGGCAGCAGCACCGGGAGCAGCGGCCATGACAGCACCACCTCCCACATTCACCTGCCAGCATATGTACCATAGCAAGTTGATCAAGTCAAAGTAGATAATGAGTATGAGAGAAAGTGGCCACGAGAATGAGAGCACGTCGGCTCAGTAACGCATTGCACACCACATTCCACCGCACCTCAGCCCACAAGAACCGAACCCATCCCATCGCATTCCACTCCACCCCATCCCACCACTCCACACCGTAATAAACCGTGCCAAGTGGGGCAAAAGCTCTAAACGATTCTCAGAAACCATCTCATCTCAACATGATCTCCCCATTCTTTTCTTATTGTGTCCAATCGATGCCTAACTAGACTTGCAGGAGCAGATGCCGAGGCCGCAGGGAGGGGTGTGAAAGGAAGGCAAGAGAAGGAGCATCGCGCGCCGTCCTCTTCGAAAACATTTGCCAGAGCTTATAATGCGTGCAGTCTTTCGAGTTTACCCTGTAAACGCCGGCGTTGGGCGTGGTGTATAAGAGAAGGAGGAGGTGACGCCGCCACCAGATAAGTTCTTAACCGCGAGAGACACGAGCCTATAACGGGTACATACTGTTCAAGACTTACCTCATAAACACCGGCGTTGGGCGTGGTGTAGGAGAAGAAGGAGGTGACACCGCCGCCCGACGAGTTCTCGATGGCGAGCGACACGAGCTTCCGGCCGAGCGAGTAGAGATCCGACCCCTCCGCGGTGAGGTCTTTGTTGTCCTCCTCCTTGGCCGCGTACTGCGGAATGAGAAGGGGGGGAGATGAGGAGGACGGAGGAGAGGAGGCGGGGGGGAAAGGAGAAGAACGGCGGAATGCTATTGACTTCCGAGTCAACGTCTCGAAAGGCCCTGCGGTCAGGTCCTTGTTGTCCTCCTCCTTGGCCGCGTACTGCGGAATGACGAGGGGTAAGGGGTAAACGAGGGAGGAGCGACGCCTCGAAAGGCCCTGCGATCAGGTCCTTGTTGTCCTCCTCCTTGGCCGCCCGACGGGCTCTCGATGGCGAGCGACACGAGCTTCCGCGCGAGCGAGTAGAGGTCCGCACCCTCCGCGGTGAGGTCCTTGTTGTCCTCCTCCTTGGCCGCGTACTGCGGAATGGGGGGGAGGACTGTTGAGTCGACTAAAAAACACGCCGATCGGGCGAAAGATCCGGCAGCGAAGCTGAATGCATGAATTAGGGTTTCTAGTAGGAGACGGAACGATCCGACAAGAATGGAGGTAGTTGGCGGCGTACCACTGACACTAGACAGTAAGAACACGACTACTACAGTTCAGTTTCGCGAAGTGAATCTTATATAGAGATGTCTATAACGAGAGGTATCGCATCAGTTTGCGAGGGGACCCTGCCGAAACCTAAAAGCGATAAGAGGAGCCAGCAGTGAGAATTCATCCATCGAAAACAAGGAACCGTCTACGCCTATCGAATATCACTTGGCTGTGCTTATCTTAACTGAGATACTGGCTTACCCATCATGACGGTATCAGGAATCGGGATTGAATATGAGCCAGTTTGCCTACCTGCTTAGCGGTCCAGCTGCCGCCGTCCTGTTTGCAGATGAACATAAAGACACCCATGGCGATGGCTCACGTGACGACGAAAGAGACTAACGACGTCTCTAAGTCCAAGCTACAGGAGCTCTTTTAGGGAAGGGAGATTAGCTGGAGGTAGGCAGAGAAAGGAGGAGAGGAAGAGCAATGGCGGCTTTGAGGGCGAGCGGAAGGGACAGGGGGAGAGGAAGGGGGAAAATGGGGAGGAGAGTGGGAGAAAGCGGGAGGAAGGAGGGAGGAGGGGGAGCGGAAGGTAGAAAGGAACATGGGGAAGGGGGAAGGCACGGGGCAGGAGGGGATCAATTGTGGCGGGGAAGTTCGCAAGTTCGCAAGCTGCGGGGGACCATCCTTGTTGCGGGGGTTTTGCATTGATTGGGTTGCTCGAGGTTTTGCGAAATATTGTGCTAAGGGTTACCAGCTTCGTGTTGAATTTCCTTTGTTTCGTTTTGCACAGAGAAATGGAATGCACACGCAGTGGGTTCTGTGGTAGAACTTCACTTTCCTTCGGTTTGGAAAGCTGTTGTATGTTTCGGTGCGTTATAAAACGGTCTGGCACGGTTTGGAATCTCACGTTGCTCATTCCTGACTTCAATCAGGACCCTGTCCTGCTTGGGACTGCCCATGTCAGCCACTGGGGCAGCTGTTTCTTGGTGCTGCGTTATGTGTGCTGCGTTATGTGTGCTGCGTTATCTGTGCATCCATGTATTCATGCATCCGTGAGTCGGTGAATTTGAGAAAAGGCGACTTCGAACACGGTAGTGGTTTTAAATCAGGCAGCCATCGCTGAGCTTCTTGTAGCCTCCGCTGTCTAGCTTCCGTACTTAGGACGACGACTTTAGCCTGGACACTGACGCGTGGTCGGGTTCCACGTGGTTCGTGTTGTTTGTCGCCGGATGTTGTAAAAGGCCGTCCCATCAGATAGAACGGCTCACAGCGTAGCTATGATACCGTAACCAAGTCAGTCGTTTGTCGTAATCAATCAGCCATGTACAGAACGCCGCTTGCTTCCACAGTAGTAGCCTGGGTGGGTGCCTACTTCTTCCTTGTCTTGCTCACCATCTCTCTCGCGTCTGGCCTCTACTACATTGCAGAGATTATTGAAGACCATCCTAGAACTTCCAAGAAGCTGCTTAGCATTTACATCAAAGCCACGCTCGCGGTCCACGTCATCGTCGTAATCTTCGACCGTCCGTCAATCCTCTGCATTCTTACCGGTATCGCCACGCACGTCGTCTACTACCTGATCCTCCGCCGATTCCCGTATGTCAGCCTCGGATCTCCCGAGTTCATCAGCTCATGTGTGGGGTTCGTCTGCAGTAACTTCGGCTGGTTTCAGTATTACTACTTCCGCACTAATTTCTCGATCGAGTTCTTTCTCGGGTTCATGATTCCCATGGTGTGGCTCGTTCCCTTCGTCTACTTCGTCTCACTTTCCACGGAAGAGACCCTGTTGCCGTATGCTACAAGCCACCACCTGTCACCAGCAGCAGACGAGGTTCTGGGTCGGACTCCTTCAGGAAGCAGTCACGCCAGCAGCAGCAGAGTGGTGCCCGGTGCTGGAAAGAAGATTAAGAGTTCGTTCTTGTGGCTCTATCACTTTATTCGGCAGAAGAGGGATGATGTTTTGCCAGAGTTTAGTCTGGAAAGAGGGACGAGTGGGAGGAGTGCTGCTAAGGCATTGTGAACGTAGAAGGTGCTGCTAATTGTAGGAGCCCTTATTTCTGGCACTAACAATCTGACATGCATTCCTTCATTAGAATTGCTTCTGAGATGTTTCAGTGTCCGTGCTTCCGAAGGTGACTTTTTTCTTTGTTTTTTTGGCAGATGCCGCTTGGCATGAAAAGAGTGGTAAACAGAAGAGATTATTTACTGCTCACAATCAACTCCAAGACCATACAACACACCAGCATATTTCTCAGCAGAGCCTTTGAAAAAATCCTGCCTTAGCTTCCTGAAAGCTGCTGACGTCAACAAACTGTCCGACCCTGCTTGATGCTGAGGACCAATCCGCTCCACCTCTAGGGTTTCCGCCAAACGATTCAAACCGCCGTGGAGATTATCACAGAACTTCATGAGGTACTTAATGTCGTAGATGGTAGGAAAGTATGTGCGGAGGAGGTTGAAAAAATCTGCTTCGTTGCTCGGAAGGTTCTGACACGTCAGCACCTTAAGGAGGTACCCGAAATCGTAGCCGCTGTGGAACGTTATCCAGTTCACGTTCTCGTTGAGGACAACGCCTGACGGAATCATAAGCTCGCCGAAACGGAACGAATTAATCCCTCTTTCCTGGTTCATGTTGAAATCGATGCCGCTCTGCTTCAGAAGCTCGATCGAGTCCTGCGCGTAAATGTCCTCCATAAGATTGAACTCGCGGAAATTAAACTGCCAGACGCAGTACTCGTTCTGACCGAAATGAGGAAGCATACCATCCTCGTTAGTGAACGTCAACCCTAACTGAATAAGCTTCAGCATGTCCACGTTCACGCGCAAGGTTTGGTAATGGTACTCCGCGCTGCTGCGAAACGTCCCGACTGGCCTGACCACAACCCCTGGGAACTCCGTATCCATGGCCACATACGGATACTCATCCACGATCTCGCGAATCATCTCAAACTCCTCCTCCAGATTATCCGCCCACACCTCCCTGATCCTCAGCGTGCCTCCCTTCGGAACGGACATGGTGGAGGCGGAACCAGAACAACCGAAAAAAAAACACCTATGAAACCCGACGAGCGTGATTCGCGGCGGCCATGGTTGAAAACGCAGCAAGGCAGGGAACAAGACGCACGAAGAGAGAGACGGGTGATGTTGGGCGGGAGCGGGCAGGGCACAGAGGAAGCAGATGGGTCGAGACTTGACACGGCGGATGGAAAACTGACGGCAGTGCAACTGGCCAGGGCGAGCAGGGTGGTGAGTGGAGTTGAGAAACAGACGGCCGACAGTTTTGTAAATAATGACTGGGTGAAGCGAAACTGGGAAATGGATCTGTAGCCAATCAGAAAAGGCGTCAGTGATAATTTACCGGCCGACCTAATATCAAAACCCTCGTGTCGAAAGTTCCACGTCCTAACGCTGTCAGACGGTCGTGTGATGACTCGGCTGCTGTACTCCTTAGAAACAAAGCTTCTTCCATCTCAGAATGTTTTAGCAACTAATCATCTTGTGTGTTCCATACATGAGGCGAAAAATCTAAAACCAGCCTACCCAAATACGTTTGGGTTTCTCTAAGGCGCCATGATTGCATCTATTGTGTAATTGAAGCTCTCTGCCAAATCAGAGCGGAAGAGAAGGGAGCGAAGATGGTCCATAATGCTCAGGTCTGGGTCAAGTTTACGTTGCCAGCTCTGCTCAATCACAGAAAAATGGATCAGGAGAAAATGCTGACATTGTTAGCAAATGGAAGGGGAATTGGGCAGCAACAATAATATCGACTCGATAATGATTTGAATGCGCAAGTGCCAATGCGAGGCTACACATATGTACCTCAAGCACGAGGGTGGTGATGATCACTGTGCACACATTTCCATCAATGTTCACCCGATGCCTTCGCACCTGGAGGGGCACACAGCGAAAAAACCAGCAGACACCAACCAGGGATGGCACACAACCAGGCACAAACAACCAAGCCAGGCATGGCAACCAAACCAGGTATGGCACACATTGAGTGGAGAGGCAGAGCCACAGGCACAGACAACAGCAGTTGACAAGGACTGCACAGGCACAGGCACAGTTGACAACGGTAGCACTGTCAACTTAGGGAAGGACATGAGGCAAGACAAAAGGAGGGGAGACTCTAAGACCTGGCTGACTCAATTCAACTACAAGATAAAGGAGGTGAGACTGTCCATAATGAGCAAGAAACAAGGGCACAAACCAGCGCAAAAAAAACGGCTAAGATTAGAGTTTAACCCACATGTTCCAGCAGGTCTTGCATGCAGTCACCCGTTGGGATTCGCAGGCCAGTGGCGTCCCACTCCTTGAACGAGTTGTCCACATCCTGATGGGAGGCGGGGTGTAGGGAGGGGAACGTGGTAGTGGTTATGTATTGAATAAGTTGCGCTTCAGAGGAGGTGAAAAGGCCCGTGACGTCCCACTCCTTGAACGAGTTGTCCACGTCCTGATGGGTTCCACAAGGTATGGGCGTGGGGTCACGCGAGGTGTTGGAAGTGGGGCGGGAAAAGCAGAGGAGGCTGACAAGAGCCGGGTGAATCGTCCAACTGGTGCTAGAGGCTCCAATTCAGCACATCGCGTTTGGCTCTTAGAAGGAGCTGCCCGCGTCCTCACAAGTGCCATGGGGAGCAGGTGTGCGCAAGGGAGAAAAGGAGTGGATGGCAGTGGTAACAAGGCTCGATATCTGTATTCAGTTTGTTGGTTTCTTTATGCTTCGTTCATTTCTTTCCGTGCGTACCTGAATGAAAGCTCCGGGGTCAGCTCAGCTTTGCTTGTCCGCGAATTTCAACGTACAAGCCGCCGCCTGCCGGCCGTCCGTGCCGCACTGCAATGGCCTAGGAAAACTCTGTTCGCCCGGAATCTTGGCTCTAGCTCCGCAGTCATGCCCACATCCAGCAGCCATGCCCACATCCAGCAGCCATGCCCACATCCAGCAGCCATGCCCACATCCAGCAGCCATGCCCACATCCAGCAGCCATGCCCACATCCAGCAGTCATGCCCACATCCAGCAGTCATGCCCACATCCAGCAGTCATGCCCACATCCAGCAGTCATGCCCACATCCAGCAGTCATGCCCACATCCAGCAGTCATGCCCACATCCAGCAATCATGCCCACATCCAGCAGTCATGCCCACATCCAGCAGTCATGCCCACATCCAGCAGTCATGCCCACATCCAGCAGTCATGCCAACATCCAGCACTCATGCCCACATCCAGCACTCATGCCCACATCCAGCACTCATGCCCACATCCAGCAGTCATGCCCACATCCAGCAGTCATGCCCACATCCAGCACTCATGCCCACATCCAGCAGCCATGCCCACATCCAGCAGTCATGCCCACATCCAGCAGACATGCCCACATCCAGCAGACATGCCCACATCCAGCAGACATGCCCACATCCAGCAGCACAATATGCGGGTGGGAGCTCAGCGACAACCCCGCCCCTCAGCACCTATCAGCACCACCCCTCAGCACCTATCAGCACCACCCCTCAGCACCTATCAGACCCACCCCTCAGCACCTATCAGCCCTACCCCTCAGCACCTACCAGCCCCACCCGTCAGGCTCTCTTCCTAACAGAGTGCGCCTTGATACCTGAATGAATGCATCAGGGTCAGCGCAGCTCTGCTTATCGGCAAACTTGAGCGTGCACGCAGCAGCCTGGCGGCCATCCCACACGGCAATGGCCTTGAAGAAATCCAACATATTAGCCCGGAATCTTGGCTCTAGCTCCGCAGTCATGCCCACATCCTATGTGCGGGTGGGAGCTCAGCGACAACCCCACCCCTCAGCACCTACCAGCCCCAACCCTCGGCACCTACCAGCCCCACCCCTCAGGCTCTCTTCTTACCTGAGTGGGCCTCCATACCTGAATGAAAGCGTCAGGGTCGGCGCAGCTCTGCTTGTCTGCGAATTTCAGCGTGCACGCGGCAGCCTGCCGGCCATCCCGCACAGCAATGGCCTTGAAGAAATCCAACATATTAGCCCGGAATCTTGGCTCTAGCTCTGCAGTCATGCCCACATCCAGCAGCACAATGTGCGGGTGGGAACTTAAAGCCAGCCCCACGCCCTCCTCCGGCGCCGACGGCAAATGCCCGCGCTGCATGCGCACGAGAATGTTCCCCGGGTGCAGATCCGCGTGTATGAAATTGTCTACTAGGAGCATTTTGAGGAGCGTGTGTGAGCCGAGTTCAGCTAGCTCCATGTTGAGCTTGTTCCCCGCTCGCTTCTCCCACCACTGCTTGAACGGCCGCCCTCGCATCAGCCACCGCCGCTTCTTCTTTGCCTTGGGATCATCCCCATTCTCTATCCCTCTCCCTTCAATAGTTCCCTCCGCACCCTCCCTGCCCTCCGGCCTGCCTTCTGTTGCACTGGCAGCGGCTATCCGCTTGTCATCTATCCCACTCTCAGAATTGCTCCCCCCTACTCTCGCCTCTGCCACTCCTGTTCCTGTTGCTGCAGCTGCAGCTGCAGCAGCAGCGGCAGCGGCGGCTTCAGCTGCGGCTTTCTCAGCTTCGGCGGCGAGCCACGCGCCCTTCCCCTCCGGCCCAACCACACCGCCAGGCTCGGCCCGATCCACGTACCGAGCCACGCTCTGCCCGGACTCAAACGTTTCCACGAGCACCTCAGGATGCACGAGTGGGTAGAGAGGCTTGGGGAAGCTGATGCTGCGCCAGCGGCGGAAGTTGTAGTTGAAGCGACTCAGTTGAGCTGCCTCTCGGGCTAAATCAACCTGACCAACGGGAACCGGGATTGGGGAACGAGGGATAAGTGAAGCTTCAGGTGTAAGAGGACACTCTGAGACTCTGAAGCTGCCCCTAGGACGGCAGGACCGGCACAGGCTCCTAAGCACTGCTCCCATACCCGAAACCCTCCGCTAAACCAAAACCCTGTTACCCCTCCCCGTTGTCCACACCTGCAACACCATGAGCAGCGCGAACTGCCGCACGCTGTCATCTCTCCTTCAATCCTCCTTTTTCCCTCCCTCCTTTCCCACTCTCCCACTCACTTCCCTATAAGTCCCTCCCTGCCTCCCTCCCTCAACACTCCCCTGTGCCCTCACCTGCGCCATCATGAAAACTGCAAACTGCTGCACGCTGTCCTCGAGGCGCAGCCACTGCAGGCCCGGCACGAGGCTCGTGGCGCGCGCGACCCAGTTCATGATGACGAAGTCGCGGTGAATCACCTCGCGCACGCCCGGGTGGCGCACCTTCACCGCCACCATGCGCGGCGGCTCCACCATCTTCGGCTCCGCGCGCGGATAGCGGCTCGTCAGCACCGCGCGGTGCACCTGCTCGCTCAGGGGGGAATTGGGAGGAGAGATGGGGGGGACGGGAGGAGGGAGGGGGGAAGAGAGGGGGGGGTGGGGTGGGGGGGGGGCGGAAGGGGAACGGGGGTATAGCGGGGTGAAAGGACGGGGTTGGGTTCAGTGGGTGGGCGGACAGACCCAGCTCGCAGAAAAACAAAACATAAGACTTTCGGCGAAGCAAAAGCACAAAGTGTGCCAAGTCTAAACATTGAACGAACCTGCGCAATGCTCCCCGACGCGACGGGCTCCCGTCGAACTAATCAAACATCTCGGGAGGCGCGTCAAAAGATGGCTTTTGAAGCGCATCAAAAGGCAACGGCTCGAAAATCTAACGCACCTGCGCAATACTCCCCGACGCGACGGGCTCCTCGTCGAACTAATCAAACATCTCGTGAGGCGCGTCAAAAGATGGCTTTTGAAGCGCATCAAAAGGCAACGACTCGAAAATCTAACGCACCTGCGCAATACTCCCCGACGCGACGGGCTCCTCGTCGAACTCATCGAACATCTCCTCCAATCGCCGTCCGAACGCGCGCTCCACGATGCGCTGCGTCGTCTTGAACGGATGCGCCGGCGCCTTCGTGTGCAGCTTCGACAGCTGCGCGCACATGTCTTTGGGAAATAAGTCGGGCCGCGTCGCCGCCCACTGACCCCACTTAATGAACGCTGCCCCCGCACACTCTAGCGTCTTATGAACCAGCTCCAGCCACTGCTGCCGGAACCGCCCCCCCGCCATGTCGGCGAACGGGCCGGTCACGATCGCGGGCAGGAAAAGGAAAATTAGATACACGGTTCGAAGAGCCAGACGGATCGCTTCTTGCGTTTCAAGGAGGAAGTCTATAACGGGGTTAGTGTGGTGCTGCGCCTGCACTTGCGACTTCAGCTGCGCTGCGCCAAACATCTGCTCCGCGTGCGCCAAGCCGCCTCTACCCGAACCTGTGGTCTGCCGAAGTGCTGCTTCCCCGAGAATAATCGCCACTAGCCGCGGCGCGATCTGCGATTTGGACGCCGCGAGGCTCGCGGCGCCGAAGGTTCGCGCGAGAGGCGGGAAAAAGAAGACCGGAGGTCGACACCGATCCGCAGCGCCTTGCAACAAGTGGCTCCATTTCTCCCTTGCTTCTCGAGCCGCTCCCTTTGCCACTTCTCGAGCCGCGAGGTTGCCGGATCGCAGGAGCCTGACGGCTGCTGACTGCTCAAACAGAAGGCTGGATTCTCGCGAGATCTGACGGGAAAGCGTCAACCTTGCCGCGTTAACGGTGGCACTGGTACTGCTACCGATCGAGGATGAGGGTTGAGATGCGGATCGAGAAACAACCCGAGAGTAGAAGGATCGGAGTAACCGGATCTGGCCGGAGGAGGAAACGGACGGCTGTGATGCTCCCCGAACATGGTGTACGCACAGGGAAGGCAGGGGATGCGATCGAGGGGGTAGAATCGACGGCTGTGGTGCTCTGAACAGGTGTTTACTGGCTGCTTGTGATGAGATCGAGTGGCTTGCTGCGTCTTTAGGAGTAATCAGTCTCGATAGATGTGACACGTAACTCCGCATGGGAGGACCTAGCGACTCTTGGGCACGACGACTTCGAGAAAGAACGATAGATCTCATGGTGGAAAAACGCGGTAGCTATACTATGGAGACGCGATAGTATGCTGATTTGTCGGACGTCGCTACATTCTCCAGCAACTGCTTAGGAATACCAGCAACTTAGGTTTCTCCTCGACGAGTTTCTCATGGTGATCACAGTCGAGAGGAAGATGGGCAGGGCCGACTGGAGTGTGTGTGGGGCGGAACCTCAAGAAAAAGGAAGCTGCTACGGCTGTACAAGTATACTGTACCTCGGGTCGCTTACATAAGTACTTGGACAGAATGCACGGACAGTCCCAAGAATGGCTATTAGATGGCATTCACAGGAAGTAGCTCAAGCGAAGTAGGCTCAACAACAGTGCACAGATATTTGTGAAGCACGTGTTTGGGGTTTCTTCACGAAATCTTGTCGCGAACGATCTTGAAGTCGACGGGGTTACATGCACCTGATTGGGTTTGCGAATTCACTCAAACTCGTCTAGGTGTGTATCCACATTCGCATGGCACGTGGAGTGGGTGTGCGAGGGCGCAAATATCTGCACTTTTGGGCCTCTTGAGCCTACTTCGCTTGAGCGAACTTCCTGTGAACGCCATCTTACTTTTTGAAAACTGCCCTGACGTTTGCGTGTGAATGGTGCAGACCAGGTCCCAGCAATCTCGGAGCCACCTTCCGAAGGCACAGCGTGGTTGGAGAGTGGTGCGGCAAAAATCCGCCCCTTCGAAATTCGGCTCGTTTCCACCGTCAGAAGTTCCCAAGATGATGGCAGCAATTCTTCAATCAGGGACCACTGCCTAATTCGTATTGTCGGTCGAGATTCGTGCGGGGCTGACAATCCGACGGCTGCAGCAAAGATTTCGGGACAAAACACTCAGCTAATAATGGAAGTAACGTCTATATAGGTCTATTTCTGTCCCTCCATTGAATTTACATGGAAGACAAAATCGCGTCTACTCCTACCGCGTACGTCGTGAGCTCTCAGCAAGCTCCCCTTGTTTCCAAGTTGGGCCAACATCATATACATGCAAATTAGTCTGGTAACCCTATTCGATGGTATGCAAAACCGTCGATACCCCAGTTCTGCTTCGCAAATTTGTCTGGTAGCGCCACATAAAACACTGTGTAACAGCTGATGCAGCACAAAAAGGATGCAATGGGTGAAACAATCGATTGCATTTTCAATTTCGTTTCATAGTTTTTTTCACCGCGCTTTGTTTGACGCCTAACAAAGATTCCTGCGGGCAACAATTTTCCGTTAAATGTGCACGATAATTTTAACAGGAAAATCCGTCGAATAAAAGGTAACGGTGTCATTTTTGTAATAATATATTGCACCCCATATATTGCTACCGGGTACTGTTAGGGCAGGCAAGAAAAAAATAAAACCCTTAGGGACCTGGACTCCTTTCAGGGAGGGATCAACCCTAAACACGGGAAAGGCATTGTATTTAGGGTTGATGCCTCCCCAAGTGCATCCCTTTCCGACCGGGTTTTATTTTTTCTGTCAGGTATAGTGAACAGTGTTGCTCATCTGGCGAACAGTTGCCTGAACATCTTGTATTTCCGCTGAACTTTGATTAATTGGGGCAACTGTTCGCCAGATAAACAACACTGTTCACTATACCTGACAGAAAAAATAAAACCCGGTCGAAAAGGGATGCACTTGGGGAGGCATCAACCCTAAATACAATGCCTTTCCCGTGTTTAGGGTTGATCCCTCCCTGAAATGAGTCCAGGTCCCTAGGGGTTTTATTTTTTTCTTGCCTGCCCTGATAGCAATATATGGGGTGCAATATATGATTACAAAAATGACACCGTTAACTTTTATTCGACGGATTTTCCTGTTAAAATTATCGTGCACATTTAACGGAAAATTGTTGCCCGCAGGAATCTTTGTTAGGCATCAAACAAAGCGCGGTGAAAAAAGCTATGAAACGAAATTGAAAATGCAATCGATTGTTTCACCCATTGCATCCTTTTTGTGCTGCATCAGCTGTTACACAGTGTTTTATGTGGCGCTACCAGACAAATTTGCAAAGCATAACTGGGGTATCGACGGTTTTGCATACCATCGAATAGGGTTACCAGACTAATTTGCATGTATATGATGTTGGCCCCGACACAGTTCCACAACAAACTAGGGATTGCACCCCGGGCCAACATCATATACATGCAAATTAGTCTGGTAACCCTATTCGATGGTATGCAAAACCGTCGATACCTCGGTTTTGGAGGTATTGACATATTGCCATAGTATCACGATTCTTTTGAATCAACGCACTGATTTCTACCGCGCTTTTATTTCCGCTGAACTTCGATTTATTCGGGCAGCTGTTCGCCAGATGAGCAACACTGTTCACTATACCTGACAGAAAAAATAAAACCCGGTCGGAAAGGGATGCACTTGGGGAGGCATCAACCCTAAATACAATGCCTTTCCCGTGTTTAGGGTTGATCCCTCCCTGAAATGAGTCCAGGTCCCTAGGGGTTTTATTTTTTTCTTGCCTGCCCTAACAGTACCCGGTAGCAATATATGGGGTGCAATATATTGTTACAAAAATGACACCGTTAACTTTCATTCGACGGATTTTCCTGTTAAAATTATCGTGCACATTTAACGGAAAATTGTTGCCCGCAGGAATCTTTGTTAGGCGTCAAACAAAGCGCGGTGAAAAAAAACTATGAAACGAAATTGAAAATGCAATCGATTGTTTCACCCATTGCATCCTTTTTGTGCTGCATCAGCTGTTACACAGTGTTTTATGTGGCGCTACCAGACAAATTTGCGAAGCAGAACTGGGGTATCGACGGTTTTGCATACCATCGAATAGGGTTACCAGACTAATTTGCATGTATATGATGTTGGCCCATTGCACCCCTGCCGCGTTGAGTTGCAGCCAGCTGTGAAACGATTTCGCCAAAGGCAATCACCCACAGCTAGCTCTGGAAGAGCTGTACATTCGGTGGTTACCAGCCATTTCATGGTTCATTCAGAGCTGTATTGCTGCCAGTTCCAGCTTTCGCCTGGTGTTCTGGCTGGCAGTGTTAGATTCTCATTTTTGGAGAATTGCGTGTGGGCTCTCTCCCTCCACTTTCGATGGAACCTGTTTGAGGCTGTGCTGGTTTTTGGATCTTGAAATACCACCAGCAAGTGCGCGTGTCAATATTTCGTTGGCGAAATTTGACGGCACGTCGCTTCGTTTCCTGAGGTGGTTGTAACACAATCCCCAAGGACAACAGACCGCCGCAATGTGCGGTCACGATATGACTAGACATTCTGTACCACAAGCTGCTCTGTGCACTGTACAGCTGCGCCTGCCTCGGCAGAATTGCTGGGGGGGCTTCGATCGGGTTCGGCTTCGGCCTTCACCTAACAGGGACCATTTCTGGTGCCACTCCAGCACAACTCAGAACGATAAGAAATCGACGCTCAGGATTGTCTCGAGAGTGTGACGGTCGCCTGACAACCATTCGTTTCTCGTTCAGGGGAGACAGCTTCTTGAAATGCGCAACCGGAGCTGTGAATATGAACAGAAGTGCACAGCGCCCTACCTGAATAGAACAGTTCGGAGTTTCCGTTTCTAGGTTGACGGAATGCGTCCCAGCTAGAACTGAATTCCACACAGCAATTGCCAGCCTTTCAGCCAGCTAAGATCAAGCAGCCGTGGAGCTTTTACACGGGATCATATGCAGTTTGTGCCTGTTTGTTTCTCCTCGTTCAACTCGTTATCCAAGTTGAAAAGCTTCCCTAAGCCTGTCACGTATCCAAATGATCCCATCAGGGACACTTACTACTAGTGGTAGTACCACTGATCATGATTCTTCATAGAATGGCACCAAGCTGGCACCTCCTTCTCTTCAGCTGGAATGGCATCCTGCCAGCGAGGACCACCGATCGAGGTGATTAGATTCCGTGTGGGCCCAACGCGAGACGTTAGTAGCACGCTGCACGCCTCGACGAGACAGTAAGACTTGATCTGGCACCCGTGCTTGTGGCCTGGAGCCACGGGGCAGAAAGCGGCGGGAGGAGGAGAACGAGAGAGCTGGGAACGAGTACCTCGGATACTGTTACTAGTCCCGGATGCTACGTCAGCACAGGGAATCACCAGTTGTGCTGGACACGCCTGGGCCAGCCGACGCAATCTCAGGCGTAAAAAACTCTTCAGATGCGTCTGTTTTAATTGCAACTAATTGTCGTCACTACTGATGCTACCACTGCCTATCAGCTCATCTTTCCGAGAGTTGCTGCTGTACGGATTCCTTGAAACCCCTTCTATTACTGACACGGTTATCCTTGAAACCCCTTCAATTACTGATACTACCACAGCCATGGCGCCGGCGAACGCGGTCCGGCTTGCTCTTCCCGTACCTGGTATTAGCCACGGTGTTGATACCAAGCTCCGTGAATGCCGTGGAGTCTCTGTTCTTGCTCCTCTTTCTCGCTCAACACCCCCTCGGGAGAGTGTTTCAGAACCGGCGTGTGCTGAAATTCGACTGTGGAGGAGTGCTGAGGAAGAGACAACCCCTGGAAATAGCAGTGGCAGCGCTGGTTGCGGTTTGAGTCCGAGGAAGTGCGTGAGTGACGGTGCAACTTGCCGGAGAATGGATTTTGAATGGGAGCTGCTTCCAGGCCGCAACAACTCGGTGAATGCGGGGGCCTGTGCCGAGCCGTGTGTTGAGGCCTGTGCCGAGCCTGGTGCAGATTTGTCCTTGGAGCGGGCAGCAGGTGCATCATCCTGCCTTGACCTGAATCTCTCCTCTGCCGCGCCTCTCCACTCTTCAGCGCCCTGCCCAAGCCCCATGGATGAAGGAAAGGAGCAAGCAGCCCAAGCACATCAAGCACAAGCAGCAGCCCAAGCACACGCAGCCGAGAAAGCACAGGAACCGGCCCAAGCACACGAAGCGGCCCAAGCACATCGTGCACAGCACGAGCCGGTGGATTTTCTGACTCATTTCTCCAAGGCTCAACCACAATTCAAGGGACAGCGCTGTCTATCGTCCCCGCCAGCCCCGTTCGCTCCAGATTCCACCGAGGCTCACCTCTCCCTCGCCCTCGCCCTCGCAACCCTTCCTGCTGCTGCCGACGCATCTGCTCGCATGCAGCGACCTGCCTCCAAACGGACTCAAACTCCCAGTGTAACGCCTACTATCAGAACGTCGCATAGGGGAACACCCTCTAGTAGAACGCCTGCTAATAGAACTCCTAAAAAAACTGCTCTCGCTGCTCCTGGTGTTTCCCCCGCCCCTGCTCCCGAAAGTCTCCTCCCGGCGTTGTCAGCTCGCAACTCCAGGACTCCCATGGCAAGAGTGGGAGCAGCAGCAGCAGCAGCAGCAGCAGCGTCACCTTCGTCAGCATCACCATCGTCATCATCAGCCGCCACAGCCGCAGCCGCCGCCGCCGCCGCCGGAGCAGCAGCAGCTGTGGCAGCTTCGTCATCAGCGTTGTCAAGATCAGCATCATCATCATCCTCCGCGTTAGCACCACTATCAACGTTGCTTCCCTCATCATCTTCATCAGCAGTCACAGCAGCAGCCGCAGCCGCAGCAGCCACGGTCGCAGCTGCAGCTGCATCGTCATCCGCCTTGGCACCACTGTCAGCATTGCCACCATCATCATCGTCATCAGCAGCAGCAGCGTCCGCCCGAGCAGCGCTAGCAGCAGCAGCAGCAGTGCAAGAATCCACTAAAGTCCTCCCAATCTCCACCCCCCGCCCCTCCCTCCCTCCCTGCAAACTCCCCCTCGCCTTCACAACCCCTTTAAAAAGCCCCTCCAAAGGCCCCCCATTCTCCTCCCACCGATCCTACCTGAAAAGCATAAGTGGGCCGGCTGTTGGCGACGCCTACCGTAAGTCGTCTCCCAAAGCAGTGCAGTTGACTCTTGACTCAACCCAACAGCCATATGCTGGTGGTGTTGCTGGGAGCAAGCACTCCCCCAGGGCAACGCAAGTGCAAGAATCAACTGCAGCCATCGCAGCACGTGCATTGGACGGTAAGGGGCATGTGAGCTCCCCGTCGCTGTCGCTGTCTCTGCGCCAATCATCGTCACGCTCAGGCAGGGAAGACTGTTCACGTGCTGATGGGTCGGCTGCATATGCTGGGGAGTCGTGCTTACTGGCACAGACATCATTGCCAGAATCTGGAAGGTCCCTGGGCAAGAAGCGCAAGTGCCGACCTGCGGATGGTGCTATATCTCCTCCTGATGCAACAGCTGCTGCTACTACTGTTGCTGTTACTGCATCTCCTGCTCCTGTTCCTACTGCTCCCACTGCTACTGCTACTGCTGCTCCTACTGTTTCTGCTCCTGCTACTGCTGCTGCATGCGATGTTCCTAGTCTCCCATCTCTTGACATTGACAGTCTGCTAGCAGCCAGGAAGAAGAGGCAGCTCAGGTCCCTCCCAGCTCTGCTAGGCCTCATTTCTCCAAGCAGCACCACCAGCAGCCAGCCTCCTGCTTCCACCTCTCTAGGCTCATCCCTGACTCCCACAACTATCAGCAGCAGCCGGCACATACAAGCACCACAGCTCTCTCTCCCCCTCGTTTCCTCTCTTGCCATGCAAGTCCCTGCACGGCCCTTGGGCTTGCTAGCTGGCAGCAGCAGCACTGTACACAGCGACTTATCCAGGTGTAATGTTGTGAGCCACCCAGCTTCAGTTCTCCCCCCCACCATTTCTTCCACGGCCCTGGCAAGAGTGAGGCGGCTGCAGGAGCATGCGGCAGCGCTTTCTCAGCCTGGACTGCAGGGTATGAGGGCAGAACCGGTGTCTGAGTTGGCACGGATTCAGAAGGTTATCCGGCATGCCGAGGCTGCTATTCGTGGCTCGTTTTAGGATTAGCTAGTGTAGTTGTTACCTGATCAAATGTAAGGAGCCAGCCTCCCAGAGTCCAGCATTTTTAGGGAGATCGGGAAACATTGAACACTGAAACTTGAAATTCATCTTCTGTACCAAGGCTGATATCTGTCTTCTATGTACCCACCTGCAGTAACATTTGTTCTTCAGTATACACTAATTTACCATCAGCCTTGTAACGGATGTACAGATACACTGAATGCGAAATCCGCCACCTGGTCCCCCTGCGGCACCTCATCATTCCACCACCCACTGCGACTGTCGCAATATGCTCCCACTCTCTCACTATACTCCCTGCTTCACTCTCTGCAACACTCCCTGCTTTTCTCCACATCAGTCCCTAACTCACTCCACAACAGTCCCTGCTTTTCTCTCCACATAACTCCCTTCTCTCCTCATAACTCCGTGCTTCTCTCTCCGCAACACTCCCTGCTTCTCTCCAAAGGGTCTTCCTGCTTCTCTCCACAGCACTCCCTGCTTCTCTCCACAGCACTCCCTGCTTCTCTCTCCCCACCGCTCTCCCTGAGTCTCTCCCCACCAATACGGAGTTCACACAGAACTGGATCCGCTTGGCCAAACCATACGTCATATTGTTTACAAAATCTGATGTAGCAGGAAGAGACTATCCAAGCTGGTAAGTCGAGGCTTGTCACCTGAGATGGCGTCAATCCAAGCACCTGGATTTGCTTCGTAGGCTGGTGAGCGTCGTACTACCAGGCTCGTAATTTTTGCTTCTTACGGTATCACCTAGTTTGCAGGTACTCAAGCAGGGAAGAGGACCAGGCCTGACAGGCCACTGATTGCGTAGGTGCAGGGATAGATCTCCAGGCGATCTTTGGTCACCAAATCTGGGCAAGGGTACGGACCTAGTTCATTGTTTCCTGTTCGGAAGCCATTACGATGACACGCAGGTGTATGATAATCCGCCACCCACACGACTATGAGAATAAAGTCAAAGATCCGGAAAATTGGTTTGTATTATTATAAAAAAAGGATTTTAGCCTAACAAAATAAATAGTTTCAAGGCTTGTGCGCGATGAAGCTCATGCACTGCACCTGCTTCACATTGTCAAAGCCCAGAACGCGGATGTAGCACCCGGGGTAGCTCGCCTTGCACTCGGCCAACTCCCGGAGCACCTGCGACGCGTCGGTGCAGCCGAAGAGGGGAAGCTTCCACATGGTCCAGTAACGGCCATCATAGTAGCCCGGGCCGCTGTTGTTCTCCCTGTACACGACGCCGCTGGGGTCGAACTCGAGGCAGGGGACCCAGCCGTTGGCGAGCATGTAGCGGATCTGCCTCGAGATCATGTCGTCGGTGAGCGCGGGCAGGTAGGAGAGGGTCTCGAACCTGGGGTTGTTGATCGGGCTCCAGACCTGCAGGCAATGGAAGTGACAGCGAGGAGAGAACAGGGTTAATTGTTGTGATGTGGATCGACGCTGTTGAGCGGAGTGTGATGCGGGGAACACGGATGGTGTTCAACGCAGACGGTGATAGAATGTGGAAGAAGTTTCGTGGGGCGTGGACGGTATCCGATGCAGTGTCATGGGAGAATTCAACGGGAAGGCACATGAATATACCTCAACAAGGACCGCTACGTGGCCGTAGTAACGGATGTTAAAATCCAAACAGTGAACATTCCGAGTAAAACACGCGTTCATCGTAGCGGTACAATGTGGCCTGGCCTGGTAATGGAGGGAGAGAAAATAGAGCCGCAGCTCACCTTCATGCAAGAGACGCGGCTGCTGTTGGAGACGGTCTTGGCGGCGAACTCGCTAGTCTTAGCGACGCCAGCCTTGAGGCCGGAGAAGGACACCGCCTTGGAGGAGGCAGCGGAGGACTGCACGGCAGCCTGGAAGGCAGCAGGCGCCACAACAGCGGAGGAGGTGAGAGCAGCCATGTTGTCTGCTTGATTGCTCAGGCAGTGAAGAAAAATGGAAGTTCGAAAACCGTGGTGGAGAATGAAAAGATCGCATCGCCTTTTCATGTGTCGTGCACCACCACCGTTTGTTGCTTCTTCCAGCAAGGATGCCTCGACCGACGCACATCCAGCAAAAGGAGTTGAAATGACAGGTGGAGATTGACTGGAGCACTGGAGCCGTTCCTGCTCTCGTGGCGCCGTTGTGGCAAATCCTGAGAGGTGGTTGAAGTTGGTGGATAACCGTGATTGCCACATCAGGTGGCCCACCGCAGAATTCGGGTGGAGCGAGACGGAATTTCGCAGGGCGCCTCGTGTCCTCGATGGCGGGAAGTATGGTATTTGTGACACCTGGCGATGCCAAGGGTGGTTTATCCAGGGTGTGATGAGATGTGAGTCACACTCCACGCAAGCAGCACCTGAGCACACATGGCACGTGGCATTTCACTCCCCTAACAGATGGCGAGGGGTCGTGCGAAGTAACAGCTACTCGCTGTCCCGTAACCAGCATCAAATGGAAGTGAACGATCGTTCGCGACAATCATTATAGCAGACGACACCGTATGCAGTGGCGTACGTGCTTCGCAGACGTACGGTAACACTACCGAAATATCCCAAGTTTGCGGCAACACGTGGATTACGTGGTCACGGTTCAGATGCTGGGGCAATCTCAATGGCTTGTAAGCATCAGCCGACATGGATGCGCTGGCAGCGGAGTATCAGAAAACCCCTGTCAAGAGGCGCTTGTAGAAATATCTCGATCTTCCTTGTAGGTCGATGACAAATGGTAAGGGATGTGGGGGGTGGTACAGTTGTTGAAATGAAGGGATCCGCTACAATTGATGCGGGAAATGTTTACAACACTCAGACAATGACGAATATGTGCTGGTACAGCTTTGGTGATTTTCACAATGCCTATTACCCGCAGCCCCGACGACATCATTAATCACTCGCGTGCATCAGAGGCCCTCGCCAACCCCAGGAGGACTATATATCACATGTTTCGCAACCGATTTTCGACGACCGATTGCTTCATCTGTCGGATGAACCGGGCGTCGATCGAATACTGCTAAAAACCTCTTTGGAGAAACACGATGGCTCTCTACGAGTATGTTATGGCCCAACCTCAACGTTACTGACATACCGGAGGTTTTTTTTGTTTGTTTGTTTGTTTTTTTTTTTATGTGGTAATCTCTTAGTAACTGAGAACAGCGGAATGGATTGCATTGATTGAGTTGGGGTACAAGTACCTAACCCTATTTGTTTGTACCCCATATAGTATGACCCACTAAGGGCTATAACATTTGACACACCCCCATAGCCTAAGTGGGGAATGCCAAGCAACAAAACGCAACCTAAGGTCACAAGACCAGTCACAAGCAAGCGAGAAAACAAAGCTCAGGGTGGATCTCAACGTCACCACACATTCTGAGCACAAACAAGGGGCCACAAGGCCAGTTCAAGAGTGTACAAGCTAATATATATATGGTACAAACAAACAAGAGGCAAGAACTCACTACTGCAGTCTACTAGACCCAGTCTCAACAAGGCCTAACTGCAGACAAAACCGGCGGTGGTCACAAGGCTGAAGAGCCTTGGTGAAGATGTCTGCAGTGTTGGCCTCGGAGGCCACGAAGTCCAGACGTGCCTGTCCACGTCTCTGCAACTCTCGAAGGAGGAAGTACCTGACGTCGATATGCTTCACCCTGCTCTCCAGTCGAGGCTCACGACACAGGAGAATCATCGCCTTGTTGTCAGCAAACAAGGTCGGTGCAGAGCTCGGCCGCTCACCAAGGTCAGTGAGCAAGAAGGTCAACCAGCGTAGCTCCTGTGCAGCGAGGGCTCCAGCGTAGATCTCGGCCTCTGCGGTAGAAGTCGCAACAGAGGAGGACCGAGTAGACCTCCACGAAACAGCTCCAGAGCCCAGGCTGAAACAGTAACCCTGTGTAGACCTCTGTGACTCAACGTCGTCGGCGTAGGAGGAGTCGCAGTGACCGGTGAGTACAACTAGCTGTGTCCCTCCAAGTACAAGCCCCATGCCTGATGTCGCGCCGAGGTACTTCGCCACCCTCTTAGCCGCCGCCCAGTGAACAGGACGGTGTCTCCCTGTCGCAACAAAGCGAGAAAGGATGCTAAGAGGGAAGGCGAGGTCCGGGCGAGTGCACGTCATCAGGTACATGAGGCAGCCCACCAACTCTGCGTAGGGACCACTGGGCTCGAACGGCTCGTCAGGAAAAGGCCCAGTGAGTCTGTGGTCTACAGCAAGAGGGGTGGGAGGAGGAGAGGAGTGCTGAAGCCCGAACCGCTGAAGGACCTGCTGCACCATGTGTGACTGAGTCAGAGTGATGGTGCGAGCGGCTCTGTCCCTGGAGATCTGCAGGCCAAGGTAGCGGCGCAGTTCCCCAAGGTCAGTGCAGGTGTGTCTCTTCTGCAGTTCAGACTTCACCTCCGCCAGTGCGACTGTGTCGGCTGTGGCAAAAACCAGGTCGTCAACGTAGACAAGAACAAAGAAAGGTGTGCGCCCACGACGAACAAACAGCGACGGGTCGGCGGAAGACGGCTCAAACCCAAGGTCGGACAGAGTAGAGCGGAGAGTGTCGTGCCACTCACGGGGTGCCTGGCGGAGACCGTAGACCGGTCGTCTGAGGCTCCACTGGGTCCCAGGCGGGAAAGTGCCAGTGAAGCCCGGAGGACGACGCAACCAGATCTCCTCGTGTAGGCTGCCCTGCAAGAAGGCAGTGGAGAAGTCGAGAGAGTGAAGCTCGTAGTCTCTCTGCGCTGCTACGTGCAGTAACACCCGAAGAGTGGTCATCTTCGGGGTGGGCGCAAAGGTCTGAAAGAAGTCAACTCCCTCACGCTGACTGAAACCTCTAGCCACGTAGCGTGCCTTGAAGACTGGAGGAGATCCCGGCGGCCGCTTCACCTTGAAGATCCACATGCCGTCAACAATGTTCGCCCCTGGGGGGGGAACCTCGTCAACGTAAGTGCCTGTGGACCTGTAGGAGGCCATCTCTGCGTCCATGGCAGCTCTCCACTGAGAGGCCCAAGGCCCTGACACTGCCTCAGCGTAAGTGCGAGGAGTAGGTATGTCAGGAGCGTCGGGGTCTCCCTCAGGAGCGAGCAGCATGGCACAGAGATGAGGTGAAGCGGCTGCCAGGAACTCTAGCTCAAACTGTCTATCCTCTAGGACGGCACAGCCAAGGGCAGACTCACCCCCGGCGGACAGAGGACGGACAGGAGGAGCCGCCACAACGCGAGTGGCGTAGTCAAGGCGACGCGTAGCAGTAAAGTCTGTGACAGCGGCAGTGAGGACCGCGACGGAGGAAGGAGAGGCACGAGGGTCTGTAACAAGAGAGGCGAGAACACGAGAGAGAGTGGGGCGGTACGTGCGGTAGTAGTCAGTGACCGGAGTGGACAGGGAGGCAGTGAGGGACGACTCAGGAGGACGAGGAAGAACAGACGGAGGAGAACGAGGAGGACTAGGACGAAACAACACGGTACGAAGGTCACGGACAGGTGACGAGGGACGAGCACGAGGAGGACGAGAGGCCCAAGTGTGGGAGAGAGGAGTGGGAGACGGAGCGGGAGACGGAGGAGACTGAGAACGAGGGAACACAGCCGGAGCTGAGTCCGGAGGAGGAAACGTCGGACCGAGCATAGGAGGAGAGGAGGAGGGGAGACCAAGGGCCCGAAGGCCAGTAACAGAGGCCGGAGGCTGCTCCGGCTGCTGCGGCGGCTGCTGCTGCTGCTGCTGCTGCTGCTGCTGCTGCTACTGCTGCTCCCGCTGCAACTCCAGCCTCTCACGCTCCACCCACTGCTAAACCTCCAACCTCTCACGCTCCAAACGCTGCTGCTCCTCACGCTCAAGACGAAGACGGGTCTGGTGTCGAGTCAGGTAGGGGTGAGGAGGAGGAGTGGTGTCAGGAGACGAAGAAGAAGAACCGGCTCCGCCCTCGACAGCACCGGGCTGAGAACCCCAAGAGCGTGTACCCCCTGCGGCAGCACGACTAGCACCTGTAGGAGGTGGACCCGCACCCCCAGTCGGGGTGCCTCCAGTGGCACCAGCACCAGCCTCAGACTCTCCAGCTCCAGAAACACCACCAGCTCCAGCACCACCACCAGCTCCAGCACCCTCGGAACGGGCAGCCGCGGCAGGTGCACGCTCAGCGCCAACGCCAACACCCCCAGAACGGGCGGCTCCTGTAGGTGCACGAACAGCTCCAACGCCAGCAACCCCAGAGCGAGCACCTCCAGAGCCCTCACCCCGAGCACTTACACCCTCAGAGTCCGCAGTGGCCGGTAAAGGAAGCGCTGACGGCTGCTGCGGAGGCTGTGAGGACGACTGTGGGGAAGGAGGAGAGACCTGGGGGGGTACCGAGGGGGGGGGAGTAGCGTGGGACACACCAGACGGAGCAGGACCAGGGGGGGGGGTACCGGAGGAGCGGGGGCGGGAGGAGGAGGAGGTGGAGCCTGGAAGAGGGGGGGGGGGGACCGGGAGACCTCGACAGGGGTACCGGACGTAGTAGGGGACAGACTCGTCGAAACGGACGTCACGAGAGTCAAAGAACCGGTGGGAGGGAGGGTGGTAAAATGTGAAGTCAGAGGAGTCCTCTGGGAAACCAAGGAAGACACAGGGAACGGCGCGAGGTGAGATCTTGTCCACAGGGGTGTCGCGGACAAGAGCCAAGGTGCCCCAGACACGAAACCTCGACGCAACACCAGGGGACCCTGTCCAAAGACTGGTCGGTGAAGCCCCTGGCCGAGAGACGCGAGGCCAGAGGTTCAACTGGTGAGCGGCGTACCGAGCCGCGTAGGGCCACAGAAAATGGGGCGCGCGGGCGTGGATCATGTCAGAATGAACAGGCAGGAATGAGTGAACTAGCAGCATGCAGGAGTACAAGTAGTAAACCCTAATTTGGGTTGTACCCCATATGGGCTACCCCACTACAGCCTAGACAGTATGCAGCACATATGTTTGATACACCCCCATAGGCAAAGTGGGGGAGAACAAGGGGTCACAAGACCAGTCAGGGCAAAGCAAGGCAAAACAGGCTCAGGGTGGATCTCGAGGATTCCACACAAATTCCGAGCACAAGCAAGCGGTCACAAGACCAGTTCACATGCAGGTTTATAACAGAGCAAGAGATACAGTGATCACAACCTAGCAAGAGTAAACATGCAGGTATATATATATATATAGAGATCACAGTACAAGCAAAGTCAAGAAGTGAGCAAGTGAGGTCCAGTAGGCACAAGGC